CCACGACAATTATAAAGAGCTGTCTAGTGCAAGGTGCGAAGGGGGGGGGTCTAGGGACTTCTGCTCAAAAATGAGAACTGAACTTTATTTAGATTTAATTTATCAAGGAAAATCCTACTTTATGTACCCCATATATTATCCTAAATACAAATATCAGTATTCGAACCAAACGGATGGTTGCCACATCACTCAGTCACCAAATGATAACAGTACAAAGTACGTACACGGTAGGTACCGCAAACCCGGGAATATCGATCAATCGATATTCTCTTGCTGATATAAAATCTAAGGTCACACACATTCATCCATATCATTTATGGGAGGTCTTTGACCAATTCAGCCAAAGGCTAGTGTGACCCCGTTACATGGTACGTACGACGACGCAATTCAAAGTTCCCCGTGAAGTTTCTCCGCAATCCGGTGAACCGTGATATCACATTAGTTTTACAGAATAGTCTTCTTTGTGTACCTTCCGCTGTGCTTCTTGCAGTTTGACACGAACGCTTGTCCAACCACACATCTGTTTCTTTCCTTGCTCCTTGCGCTTTATGTATTCATGCAACGTTAGGAACTTCACTAGCCCCCACGTTAACATGTCGACGCTCGATATTTTTGCCTTTATTAGGAACCAGCAACACTCTGAATCCTTCAAAAAAAAATAATTTTACGTCGAATTTATTAAATGAAGGGTTGACCGCGTTGGGTTGTATGTGGTAAATTACATTAGCTCATTTTTACTAGGTAATTTCGACTTTCCACTGGTTCCCAGACAGCCGACCATAGGTGAGAATACTCCGATTCCGCTTGCAATTGTTTCCTCCACACCTTGTGTACCCGTAGGTAGGGCGGGCTGCGCTCTTCTAAGTGGACTTGTCTCGATGCTGAACTTGACCGTTTTAGAGATTGGTGTCAATCGGGTGGAATTTTCTCCCCGTTTGCGTGTTCTTGGTTGGCGCTCTCCTAAAGTTGCCGCTATCAGCCTTCATGGCCTTGTGCCAAAAATGGGGTACTTGAGTCTCGAGCCTTCTGACCACTTGAGCCGTCTCGCATCTTGTACTTCAACCATTAAAGTTGCTATCAGAAACTAAGTTGTCTAAGACAGTCACGATGCGTTGAAGAAGGAAAGTTGGAAAGTGATTGATAACTAGTAAAACTAAAAACACAAAACTACAGACTCTTACTGTTCTGCGTCGTTCTTCTGCTGGTGCAATCATAAATGATTACCCCAGTTGATGCGTGACTTTACTCTTCAAGGTACATACCACCTATGCACTCCGTTGACAACGCATGTCTTAGCGTATACCACTGTCGTCAGCTTCGTCCGTCGTGCTTCCTTGAGTTCCCAACACTCCCACTTGACGAACACCGAGCTTGTCGCGAAATTGCTCGAACTTGATCATGCCGAGCGATTCTGTAAAATGGTTCAAAATCATCTCGATTGTTGGGCAGCATAAAATTAGCTCCATATAGCGATACTTTTTCACGCAACCAATGATACTTGGTGGCAATGTGACGTGAGCGCTGTGTGACCGACTTGTTCTCTGCTATGTGTTTGGCACCTTGACTGTTTAATATCAGTAGGATAACGTCCACTTGGAGTGCTAAGTCCTTCAAAATCATGTTTATCCCGATACACTCTTGAACGCCTGCGCACATGGCTATGTACTCCAATTCTGTAGATGACAACGTCACCATAGACTGTCGTTTGGACCCCCACTCGTCAAGACAACCGTTGTAGTAAATTCCATAGCCCGTCGCAGACTTAAATTCCTTTTTACTAAAACTGCCGCATGACAGTACACCGCCAAGCCGTTACTTTCACGGCATTTAAATGTCAGCTCAAAATCGCGTGTTCCATTAAGATAGCGAAACACATGCGACCCACAATAGTCTTCACGCTGTCCGTTGGACGCTCGATCCCCTGAGAGAGGATCCTTACAGCTGCAGTGATGTCCGGTCTGCTGATCAACGATTATACGTAGGTCACTAATTGCGTGACGCGGACGGAATTGTGTCGGCTATTGCACCTTTTATAGCTGATCACGGTAGCGATTTTCCATTGGTGTGCGCGAATTTGTGCACAGTCCATACCAAATCGTTCTAAAATGGTTGTCGCAAAAATTTTCTGGCCGCACTTCATCGCCAGGATCTGACCAGTGCATTTCCAGACCCAATTAATTTTTGACTTCTGCATAGTGGACGACGCTGTACATTCTCTCAGCGGATGTCTTGAGCTTAGAGAGATCTGCATTGTCCATAGCAAATGCCAAGATGTCTTCCGCGCACAGAAGTACACTCATCAGGTTCTCCTCGGCGCATCTGACGAATAGGCATCCGTCTGCTGCCCCTTAGCAAAAGCCAAGTCCCAACAACACACTATCACACCAAGCTTTCGAGGTCTTTTTGTTCATACATTGCCCGCAAAAGTCTTAAGACTTTATCACACCAAGCTTTCGGGATCTTTTTGTTCATTCAGTGCCCGCAAAAGTCTCCAGACTTACCCATTAGGTGATGCAAATTCTTTCACTGATTCTAGATAGAGTTCTTTGTCCAGCTCTGAATCAGGAAAGCAGTCTTGATGATAAGCTGCATCCGATGCCTTTGGTGATGTACTGCTATCACAAGCACCATTCGATCTGTGCTGTGTCGTACTACAGGACTGAATGTCTCCGTGTAGTCCTCACCATAAATTTGGATGATTCCTTTGCAACGACTCTGGCCTTGTACTTGTCCGAGGCTCTACCCGCATTTATCTTCTTTTTTTAATACCCACTTGAATATGATCGCCGATCGACCTGGTGGTGGCGGAACTTCGACAAACGATCTGATTTTCTGTAGACTACCACTCGCTTCGGATTTGGCTTTCTTCCACTTGATCCAGTCCTCAGATTACTCGACATCTTGCAAATTTGTTGGTTCTACCCCAAATGCCCATGCTTCATCATTTCTTGGTATCAATTTCGCGTCGACGTACCCATTACACACCATCGTGCTGTCGGCATCTGCTGGGACCATAAGCTTTTTAATGAGATTGCACACTTCTTCCAACGAAAGATGCAGCTCATCGAAGCCCAGGCGTCGTTGACTGGGCTCAAAAATCCTGCTTGATCGACGCATCGAACGAGGCGCTTTTTCTTGTCGTGGATTACCTCGCGGTCAATCTTGACTTGTTATGTCTCCCACTGGTTCCAAATGTGGTGTAAGATGTTCCTCAGAGTTATCAGACACCATAGTTATGTTATCCTTCTCTTCATCACTCGATCCAATGTAAATTTGCTGGTTGGTGAGCTGCACGAGCTCCGATACGTGGCTTTCAATCTGCGCACTGATCTTGACCTCGTCCTCTTGAGTCGCAGGCAGAAACTGGTCCTCACAAAACAAAGCTTTACGTGCGGTGTTTTGTGGATCCAAATCCATTCTCGGGAATGTGTACTAGATAAACACAGGCAATTGAGTACCCAGAGAAGATGCCGTTTCAACTCTTCGCGTCAAGTTTCTTTCGATGCTGCTGGAGCACCAAAGCTTAAAATTTGCATTCACGACGCGAAGGTCGCTGATATCTGGTACCTTGCCCAGCAAAGTCTCCATTGGCGTTTTATCGCTTCACACCTTCGTTGGGCATCTATTGCGTATGTACGCAGCACAAACAACGGTATCTGCCCAATTTTGCATCGGCAAACGAGCCCCAATCATCATGGACCTTGCCATCTTTACAATGACACGATTAGCATGCTCTGACTACCAGTTCTGCTGGGGATTGTGTGAAGAACTGAATTCCTGCACAATGTCATTTTTCTTGCAGTGTGATGCGATGTCGCTACCAACGTACTCAGCGGCGTTGTCAGACTTCAAAAATGAGACACAATAATTTGGAACGTAGGCCCTAAGTTCTTGGTGCAGTACTTAATTGCATCCAGTTAAATGCATGAGCTCTTGTCGCGGAGAGGATAAACCATGTTAAGATGAAATGGCTCAATCATGATTTAGATCAGGCCTAAATCTATCCAGTGCCGTCACTTGCATAGGCCCTACACAGTCGAACGCAAGTGTGATCTAGTTTTTGTGTAGTGTCCGGGCTGCTTTCGCAGCAAATGACTGCTGAGTCAACTTTCCACCCACACAGGTCGGGCACGCCTGCTCCATCACCCCTCTCCATGGAAGATTAAGGTCGGCGAGAACTTGTTGTACGCTCTGTGTGTTCAGATGCCCAATCTGAAGATGCCACGTTTTTACGTGCGGCAGTTGCGTCGTTAACATGGCAGAGCCAGTGATCGGCTCACTCAATGCCGAGACCACGTAAACGTGGTGGATAGTTCGTGAAAGCAAATTACACACGATTCTCCATTGAAAATGATGTCCATTTAATTGCAAGACGCTGCTGCAACAGAAACAAGATCACGAGCCAGACCCTTGACATACAAGACATCTTGTAGCGCATAGACTTCGTTGTCATCGCGCCGTAGGTTCTTCTTTCCTATCGCCGTAGCCATCATCATTTCTCTTGAAGCCACAGCCAGGCGAGGGAGGCATTTCCAGGGTTTAAATCGATCAAATCTTCAAAATGACCAGTCATATGGCTTGTTGCACCACTGTCAACGATCCGCTCACGCTCGCAACTTGTTTCCGCGTCTTCTACCGAAAAGACAATACTCGCTGTTTCTTTCTTTGTAGAGATTTCTTGCAGCTCCTTGCAAAGCAACCAGACGATTGCATTTGTAGCACTTGACCTTGGACACGTCGCGATCCTTTTTCGACTTGGTACTTCGACGTCCAGGCTTCTGCTCCGTGTGGAAGGCAGCAGAACTATTATTACCAGCTGTACCAATACTAGTTGACCGACGTCCCTTCTGCCTCTCGCTTTGAACAGCCTACGCATGGGCACTTTGCAGAGTGGTCTCGAATGTTGCACATGATTTGAGGTCAACCACAAGCCCGTTCCAGGCAGGCCCCAGACTCTGCACGAAGTCTTGTCTCCTCTCTTCGTCCGGGACATGCACGTGTTACTTTTGAAGCTCATCAAGGACACGTCTTGTCGTCTTGATTTGTTCTACCATGGCGTCATCTCCGTCAAGGTAAAGCCCCATGTACTCACGCTTTAATTTTGCACTGCACTTTACGTTGTACGTCAGGCGCAAATGGCGAATCATCGTGAGTAGGTTGTCCATTAAATACACCTCAGACGCTATCTTCTCGCTCAACACCGCTAAAATGATTGAAGCAGCCATCTTTTGCTTCATCACTCGATCTTTGAGTGGCATCACCGACAATGCATCCAGTGTTGACGTTCCAGCATTAGCCGCTACCGTTGAAGCAGCATCCTTCTCCATCTTCAACTCGGGTTCACTTGATGTCGGCTCATTCACAGTGACGTAAAGCCCCTTAATCTTGAGTACTAGCTTGACTTGTGCGCCCCGTGCCGTATCCCCAGTTCTGTCAAACTGCCTGAGATCAGTCTCGAACGTCAGAGCTATCATTAGGATCAAAACCTATTAGCAACTAAGCTATCTAAGACAGTCACGATGCGTTGAAGAAGGAAAGTTGGAAAGTGATTGATAAGTTTTAAAGCTAAAAACACAAAACTACAGACTCTTGCTGTTCTGCGTCGTTCTTCTGCTGGTGCAATCATAAATGATGACCCCAGTTGATGCGTGACTTTACTCTTCAAGGTACATACCACCTATGCACTCCGTTGACAACGCATGTCTTAGCGTATACCACTGTCGTCAGATCCGTCCATCGTACTTCCTTGAGTTCCCAACAGTTGCCTGCGTTCGGTCGCAGTTAAAGGGTGTGGAGAGACCTCGATTTCCTGGCCAAATAGCTCCAGGAGTAATCTTTATGCTTTAATGACGAAGCTCTTTGACCTAAGGAGGCCAAAACATCCAACCCGGAAGAACGACACGTATGTGTTTAGAAGAAAATTGAGCTCTCCTTGATGTTAACCAACCAAAACCCAGAACTATGACCACGCCTGCTCCGTTTGTCAGTATTGACCACCACGTGTCTTCTCCATGCCGAATAAATTCGCAATCCTATTATATCATGTGGCCCACGCCAGATCGAGGTCCTCCGATCGCTGTCCTTTGATCGCGGTCCCTTAATATCTACAGTCTGAGACCGTTCGGGTTAAATGAGGTTGAGCCCGTTAGGTCCTTCCAATGGTAACATCTCACGAGCGATTCAGCTAAAACCACCACGTACTTAGCTAAATCGTCTAGGCTTTTGGACCCGATCTTGATCGGCTTTATCAAATGCTATCAGATTATGATCTCGCTGATATGTGAGCGAGCACATGGTCGTGAAGAAACGAATACGGATTAAGACATTGTGCGCGAGACACATCTTACTAAAGCGTTCTTCATTCTTTATAATGCATCAATCACTCATTTTGAAAACAAAGAAGCGCTGAAGCAGCTGTTAGACGAGGAGTCCTCGAGATTAGAAAAGTACATCGACGTACATTTGAGATCTGTGTGCAAGTTCGTCTAGAAAATATAGTTGCGCCGCAGTGCGTGCGCTCCAAACTGCAACTCGCGGAGATCTTGAAGAAGGCGCTTAACATTAAACGCTCACTGAGTTGTGTTGATTGCTGAATCACAGGTACATTAACGGGGTGAGGTGCGGTAATTCATGACTAGAATGAAAGTGTTATAGAATGATGTTATCGATAGTGCGTTTGCGCGTAAAACGCATCGACCAACTATGGGCTGGACGAGGGGGCTGAATTGTCACTGCATTCTTGTTATCATGTGCGTCTCGATTTGCGCCAGTATAGGTCGAGTGGACATGAACTTTAGGGAGTTAGGAGCAGGCAAGTGTTTAAAAAGAGAATAATCATAATCCTTTAAAAGGAGTGATTTTAACTGCTTTCTAAACCCTATTCGTATGAAACGATTATAATGCACCATACTTATTTTGACAACGTGATAAAAAAAGACAGTGCAATTCTTAAATATATGATCTCTGTCTTCTGTCGAATTCTATTATCGTTTTAAAGGCCGTGTTTCGTGTAAGAGCACTTTATTTGTGTGCGTGTCAAGACTAACTTCATCTTTAATTCACACTGTCAAAAAGAGGTCAACTTAGTTAAGGTTTGCGGGCAATGCAATTTCGAATATACGCTGTTATCCAAATTGATATTTCAAATCGCGGTCCGTGTCTGTGCAAACGACGAAGTGCTGATAACTGGAAGTCACGATCTCTGGCTTGATGTCACCGCGCCAAAGATGACAGACAGAACTCCAGTAGCAAGGAGTGCACGGAGACAGAAAGCGTCCAACACAGTATCTGGCATTCGTTCGGGACACGCCAGCTCAAAGTTGAGTACAAATCAAAATGTTTATACCGGACGAATAAGCCAGCTACGTGCACTCCACAGACACACCGCTCTTCACTTCCTTCTGTCCGTCACTTCTCGGGCACAGCAAAGCAGAAGATGGCGTCTGGAACAATATCATTGAAATTACGCGTTCCGAAAAATAAATCTGTAAGTATTATACATTATTCCCGACGCGGTAATTATTTGTTAGCTGGAATGTGCTCACAAGTATCAAAGTTACAACGCGTAAATGAATTTATGAGGGAGTGAACACCGCATCTCTCGTGCCACTTATTGTAGATCAAGGGCTACAACAGGATGGAATTGATGCACAGCAGTTACATTTAAAAAATTGTCGTCAATGCCATCCGTGAGAGCATAAATAGTGTAGTATACACCATTCAAGCTCAAGTTTTGGTGCCATTCTAGAATTACAAAAGCATATGTTGCATATGACCTATGCTTCAAGACACGGAAAACGTAAGGTCATATTAAATTTGCTGCCACAACAATTTTTAAATTTGATTCGATAAAGTAAGATTTCACTTCGTGCTACTTTTTGAATGCTCAGAAGATCAATCCTTGCACCTTTGCATTTTAGCTGATCGAAAAGAAAAAGTGTATATATTGAATCGGTACAAGTAGGGCTTCGTCGAATAAATTGTTGTTCGGAATTTTTATTAACATGATAACAGCAAAAATACATTCGCCGAAGACAAGAATAGTTTAATTTGCTCCTTTCAGTGTATGCACTATTAGTCCTAATAGTTATTTGCTTAGAAGGAAGGACGAGCAATTTTTCACGCATGCAATTTATAACTTTTTTCGACGGCGATGGTAACACGAAGTTGCGGCCAGACAGAAAAACAGTAAAAAAGAGATGTTACGGAGGTTAAAAAAACAAAGCACCATTGTACTTTTTGCCCAACGCTTTCAATGTAATTTTACTGCGATAATCTGTTGCATTGTATGGCGTGTCAGGAGCCTTCCAGAAACGTTAGCAGTATTCCTTTTCTTCCCTTCTCCTCAGTTCTTCACTGAAAAGTTAAGTTTATTACGACTTTAGGATGGTAAATAAGCCCGTATCATTTCTAATGTGCTCGTCCTGCACCGCCATTAAAAACAATTTGACTCTTTTATTATTTGCGGGTACAATGTAGGAAAAAGACCAGCCGTCTTTAATTTCGCATTTTTACTTGCCGAAATCGCTTGGTTCTTTACGTCGTTTATAATGTGAGTTTCAGTTCGCTTGCCAATCGAATGGAGCCTTAGATGAAAAAAGTGCATAGGATTTAAGCGTAATGACAATATCGCTAAAAACTTACTATCTGTGTTCATCGTGAAGTGGAAAACTAACGTGTGTATCTTCTACTTGCAGACGGAGACCACGGCAATGTTCAGTGATTCTATCAAGTCTGCTGTGCTTTCATGGCACACAAGGGCAGTTTCAAGTCGAGCTCCTAGGGATGTCAATCTGGTAGAATTCGGACAATATCCATCGAATAAGGTGTAAAAATTGATGAGCAACTCGTTTCAATATCGAGTTGGAGAGCAGTGCTACCCTTCGAATGAACACTGAAAGTTAGCGAGATACTAAATGTGTTAGAGCGTTAGAAAATAGTGATGGACCGGTACCGCGCTTTCCGCGAGCCATAAAGGGAGACTACCTTGGTGCTTGCCGTCATTTAAAGCTTGATTTGTGCATGTTGAAGATGCGATTTGAGTCGGGATGATACACAAATAAGGCCTTTGCATCTAAAAAAATATGACGCTAAGACTGTCTTACGTGCACATGCGTCTTGCTTGTAATATTATCACCGTCTGCCTGTTAGTCAGCTTAGACTAAAATTGCATTAATCATTGGTTCTACCCATCAAACAGGGCTCATACAACGCCGTTAAGACAAGAAAAATATGGATCTTTGTAAAGGATTTCGCTTTGTTTAGTTGATTTGAACTTAGGCTGTGCTCACCGAGAAAATACTCGATTACATCGATCATTTAAAAGTCTAATTTGTTGGCTGCCCTTCAATGCTCATGTGGACATCATGACAAAGCGATTGGACCTGTGAGCTGCTGTGATAGCAATTTATACGTTCATTTTGCGCAACAAAAATGGTGCTGATTGACAACGGTAGTGGGTGGGCTGCGGCGGCCGTGACTCGCGACGAAGGCCCATCTCCCGTATCAGGTATTGTATTGTGCCTGCAATAAGACCGGCATGGCCTGTCCTGATCTGCTGACCATGCCGTCATCCACCTTCTTTATCGCAGCCTAGACAACCAGGTCCTCCTTATCTAAAGCAAACCAGATACGATTAAATTGTTGGTGGTAGCTAACCTGGATAATCGGTGGTAACACCAGTCAAGATGCTTGTCATCATGCTCTAACCGAAGTTGCTGACGGTGTTGATTCGCCATCGCTGGCTCGAAAATTTGCGTTTTTTTTCGACAGTAAGAAGGACGATGGTTGACAACATTTGCCGCTTCGAGAACGGGGCGGCGACTAGGTGGACGTTACGTATATCGCTGACTTCGAGGAGGCGTATTTTATCGTCGAATAAAAGACTTACTACATTCGTGCTCGAGCCGCTTACAACAATGAAGGCACATACGCCCTTGCTGTCGGGCCGCCGGCAATATTTCTACGCCCACTTCGATAAGCATGGACGAATTGACTTACCACGTAGTAATTTAAGCCGCCTAAGTCGATATAACTGGTGCGCACTCCAAATCGCGACCTGGATGCTGGTACGTAGTGGAACGAGAGTCCAACGTCAGTGTTATGGACAGAGAACAGCGGTGCAGGCCTTTGATGTGGGTCGAGTAGTGGTTACTTCTGTCGCCTTGCTAACACAACTTTATAACATGTATCCTGATGATCAAGCTTCCGCTACCACTGTCACACTGTTTGCCCTTCAAATAGAATCAGAGGTCTGGAATGACCTTTGACGACCGGCTCGGAGATCGTAAGCTTAGCTACGCCGATCGAGGTTTTTTCTCAAAGGAAATCACCGGTGTTACATCTCCACGATGTAAAGCAGTTGTCATGATCTGGACATCGATCCAATGCAAAGAATGCTGTTGCCGGTGATGGCCGCCGAACATCATCCCGAAAAAAATAGTGCCACGTCATGGTCTTCGACTTTCGACTGTGTTCTGGTTCAGGTTCTCTCGATCACGCGCTAGTACACACGTACTTTACATTCTAATGACGAGGCCGCTCTTGAGGTCACGTGTCGTGATTCAGAAGCCGTTTGATGCCTCAAACGCATTTAGAAAATGGGATCAGGTGCTCGGCAGACATCGACGAATCTGTAATACTTTAAATGACAGACCTCAATGAAGATCTATCTCCTGCCTGCCGGCTGTACATCCGTCGAAGAAGCTTATTTACAAAATCGAGCTTCCCATGCCCCAACCTCTAATTTTGCCGCGGTATGGACATGACTTTGGCGTTTTTCATATATTGATTGCCTGATCCTAGGAGACCTGGCTCATCTGCAACTGTATCGAAGCAGATATATATACCTACAACGTAACAGCAACCTTGCGCTTTTATGTCTTCGATGATGCTTTCAGCCTTTATTGATGCGTACGAAGCTCTCAGCAGTTGTGGGAGCTACAAGCTAGAGATTGAGTTGAGTTGCCAAAAAAAAAATTTTGCGATCCCTCACGTACTATGTATGTGTATACAACGTGCTTGTAGAACGAGGAGGAATGCGTTTACGCAAAAATCTCTTTTGATTAATACACTTATCAATCTATCAACGATTGGACAATACTTGGAGCAGCAGGTCGCTTTTGATCTCTGTGTTCGAATCCAGGCTCAAACACAACGATGTGAGCTTTCCCTTTCCTCATACAAATACGTACAGGAATCCACTCGTATAATGTAATAGTAAACTTACTAGTGTAGCCAACGAGCCGCTCCACACTTGGCTCTGCTTTCAAATTGTCACGACTAGAATGCAAGGCAATTCTAGCATTCCAAGCAAATATGTATAAGACCAGCGATGAACCCACGATTAAGTGTAATGGAATGTGTCGAACATATCTACAATAATTTGGTATATTTGCCTGGAGGTTATCTACATGCATCTTATCAATTTCAAAAAATTTGTGGATAAAGCGATACAACTACAAAAACTGCAAGAACTGATATAGCGATATTTGAACAGCAAATATGTACAAACCGTTGGAGACTTCATATAATTAAGTGACATGCCCAGAAATAAGTCACTTACTATTAACAAAATGGATAGGCTAACATAACAGCTCATATTTGTAATAAAAAGGAACGAGTAAGTGTTGTCAAAGATTGTGTTGTGAGACACAAATGAACATATCTAAGTCCTTAGTTCAAAATCTCTTTTTCAGTATTAAGCCTACTGGTTGATTCAAATTTGCATTTCCTATCACTATTTCGCGCATTACTAATTGTATGATCGCACATTACAAATTGCCGCATAGTGCATTAGTAATCGCTACGTCGCTCAGTACTGATTTCCACGTCGCATATTAATAATCGCCCCATTGCGCATTAGTATAAACCGCGTCACGCCTTACTTATCGTCGCTTGGATGCCGAGGTGCTTTTCGATAACAGTAATTAGGAACTATCGAAGCAATTTTAGATATAGAAACCTGCTTACCAATGCCAGGTGAAGCAAAACAAAAGAATCGTGAAGAGCCGCAGCCCGCGACGCGTAAATTAAAAAAATCCTCTACTATTAATTTTGTACGTAATATCATAGATCTACACGGCTATGCTGCAGTGGTCACAGTGCAATCCTTCCCATCGACTGGCTTAGGCTGGAAAACATTAATGCGGTACACCGTCGTGTTCGTCGATTTTGACGGGTGACACAACTGGTTATGTGATTTCTTCAGATATGTCTATCCATTGTGTCCAATTGTTCCTGTTACATTTGCCTCCTTTTGTGAACGATGTTTGTAACGGAGCACCCTTTGTTTGGGGTGTCACGAAACTTCACGTACACTAGTACGTGCGGAGGAAGCTAATCTACCTAACAATTAAGCTGAGTAAAGGGTAAAAAGAGAACTGTATTTAATATAGTTAAGCTATCAACGAAACTTTAATCTTTATCTAACTATATTAAACTACGTCGTATGACGACAACCTGCTCACCACTCATTGCGCGCGTCTAGCAGCAATTGGTGGTAATCAATGGTCGATATGTCTTATATCAACCAATCTTTGATCAGCGCATGAATATAATCCTAAAAGGAGGATAATTTCTTTTCGATATTATCCATCTCGGATAATATTGGTAGAATATTGTCATGCTAGACAATATCCCATTGACGCCGTTTGGTGTCAATATCGTGTAACGGGCTACCCCTTCACAATGTTACCCGTCTACTTCGGTAATCGGGGCGTTTTTAAAGGAAGTCTTGACCTTATAGTCCGAGTTGCAACGGCATTGTGGATTTAAAAGATGTGATCCACGACGGACACATAAGCGGAAGGTATTGATCTCATTTCGTCGTTAGTGCTGCGGCATGGCGGCCCTCGTAGACTTATCGATTGAGCGCATGGTCTATACTTCCGTTATCATAAAAAGGACAAAGACGTTAGGACAATTCACTCTTTGATTGAAATTGATTGAGGGGTGGATCCTCAAACGGCTGTACACGATGATCTCCTGCCCGTGCATAGCCCGTTTAAACCTTCCTGAAATAAGGTAGATGCGTCACTCTGCCGACATTTTCGGGCCGCCCAAAAATATCCTCCCATGCATAGGCTTGGCAGCATTGTTTACGACATCAAGACTTTCATAGATTTCTGCTGGAAAGGAAAAACGGGGACCAATCTAATCACTCGACGCGGCCTTCTAAGGGAAAGGTTCCCTCAGCAGGAGCTGTGGGGGAAGAGCATACACAAATATACCAATTTGACTGCGGCAGTCTATAACATGTGAGAGGGGAATTAAGAGAAAGATTCCATGCTAAAGGCTATCCACTCTTTTTTTAGGCTGTCAACTTGTTTCTTAGGCTATCGACTTGTTTCTAAGCTCCCCACTTGATATTCGTAACTATCCCTGTTACAGGATGTAAACTCCTGACGTGTCAGACACCACATCCGTCGGGGGTGGTACCAGTGATGTGTAACTCCTTTACAGATGCGGTACAACATCAATTGCATAGTCACAATGTTCGTCCACCATCTACCCGCAAACTGGACGGCAATTACCTCATGTCTATTTCTTTTCAGGGCAGAGTCTGACCTCTTTCCCGTATAAAATATGGTGCTCGTCCAGCGCTGAAGCTGCATTAACAGCACGACTCAATCAGTCAACCGCTGTGTCGCAAACGGTCACACAAAGAGGCAGTAAAACGCTACACGATCGTGCTCAAATTGGTTGTCCTGATCGTATCACCTATGTTGTGGCCCTTGCGATGCTCTTTGAATCATACGTTGGTGGTATTTGCACCCATGTCTGTCCAAAATAGTATCACGCAGCCTGGGAAGCGCTCGGACAATCGCCATGCGACAACTGTTGGAAGCTGTAGCATATGACCACGATGCGAATGGCATCGTATGCGGCTTTGCATGGCTCAAATTTGTGTCATCAGATTATTGATATTTACGCAATGATTGTGGTGGATGTATGGTGAAAGAATGATCATCGGCGATGAAACATTGACGTTCGTTATCCCTGCGCAGCAAAGTAATATCAAACCTCCTACTGTTGCGTAGCTCCAGCAGCCAATTCCGACAGGAGCGAATGTGGCCCACGCTCGTGTCGTCAGGTCCAGAAAACGCCAACGAGGCAAGGTCCCATTTGGCTAGAGGGCAAGGTCTGCGACAAGAGCAGCCAGTCGGGAGCCTGCCCTTGCAACTTAGAGCACGGTCCGCACAATTTAAGTCGTACGTATGTTAACTGATCCGGCAGCCAAACAAGAGCGGTATACCTGCAAAACCGCGTCGTTTCAACCACTTCGTGAGGTGTGTTCTTGCTACGATTCTACAACTTGGCAGCAAATCACGTCTGAAGCTCTTACAACAGGATAGCTGCCCAGCTTAGGATTTACTTCGAGTCCCACATACAGGTCTTGTCCATCCGTCCAGTGTCGTGTGGCTTCTAAATGTTGAACATGTCAAACACGGTATAGCATTCTCCATCCTCGTTTCCTCAGCAGCGGATGGACGTGTCATGTGTTGTGGACAAGGAAAGCACATGTGCATTGTCAACTCGAGCTCGTTCACGTGAAGCAGTTAGGACAACGCAGTGACTTCTCGCTGACTCGACACTTTCAGGTCAAGAGCTTTTGCTCACTCCTCATTTCGCTAACTATCGGATACCTGCATCTCCTTCTAAATCTCGGCTCGTCATGGTGACTTCTCTTCGTTCGGCTGTTGCAATGGCGTCGCTCGCTCTGGGTGTGTCCACAATAGACATCACGCACGCAGAAGAGCTGTGCTCGATCACTCCTCAGTCTTATGCCAAAGCCAAGACTGACTACCCGGACCTTGCTTTCGCCATCAGTGCGGTGGAGGAGTATTCCATTGCTGCTTGGTATACTGACCGCCTCTCGACAGCCGACCGTGCCAGGATGCTTAAAGACCTGACGACCCAATGCTCCGAGGACACGCGCATGACTGTCGTCGTTTACGGCATACCGAAGAAAGACTGCAATGCTGGCTTCTCCTCTGGTGGAACCGTGTCGAACACAGCCGACTACAAAAAGTTCCTGTCGGATTTGACCACTGCAGTGGGGAACCGCAAGGTCCTGTATGTGGTCGAACCTGATTCTGTCGGTCTTCTTGCTGAAGAGAACGGGTGCGGTGTTGGTGCTGGCTACCTTGAGAACCTCAAAGTTGCCGTGAAGGCTCTTTCGAAGAACAAGAATGCTGAGCTGTACGTAGACGTTGGCTACTGGACTCTCGAGTACGAAGCTCAGTCCTCGAAGGTTGTGAAAGTGATGAAGGAGCTGGCGGGAGAAGGAAAACTCAAAGGCATCACTATCAACACGTCCAACTATCGCTCGACCGACCAAATGACGAAACTGTGCACCAAATTTCAGACCGCCATGGGCTCGACTGACATGACGTGCATTGTCGACACCTCACGCAACTTCAATGAGCCTGCCACCACGGACTGGTGTAATATCATGAAGGCTGGTATCGGACAGCCGCCTACATCGGAAACCAACATCACGAACCTCGACTACTTCATGTGGGTCAAGGTTCCTGGAGAGAGCGACGGGACGTGTTCCGACGGCTCCGAGGCTGGTCCCACTGCTGGCTTTTTCTTCGAAGCAGGGTTTCAACACCTGTGGGACCAAGGGTACCTTGTCAAGAAGCTCGGCATGAACACAATCGCAGATGGAGGGACTGCCTCGCAGACCTCGAAAACTGGTGTTTCCCAGACGTCGTCGCAGGCCTCTGCATCAGAATCGACTGACGAGGATGATGGTGTGTCCGAGACTACGGACAAGAGCTCCTCGGAGGAGACGGAGGAACCAAAGAAGGAGGGGGACGAAGAACCTCAGCCGCAAAATGGCAGTGCACCCCAAACAACTGCTCAAACTGAACCTTCCGGCAGCAGCGATACTATGAACGAGACTGAGGACAAGACCGAGGACGAGAGTGAGACTACACCGTCGTCGACCACCGAGAGCAGTCCGTCCCTCGAGTCTGAAGTCGCTCCGATCAGTACTCCTGCCGTGATTCTGGACACCATTCCACCTGCGGTTGAGAGCCCTCTCAAGACGGCCAAGTGCACGGTAAAAGGCCGATTCCGCCAGTAGTTTGCAGCTCGTGTCTTCTGTGTAGAGTCCAAGTATCTGATGCCGAGCACCGCTTGTCACAGATCACTCGTGTGGTGGGTCTTGCTCTGTCCTGTAAAAAGCCTTTCAATGCAGTCGATCTACAGTTTTGCTCCTTCGAAAGCCTGCTTGTACGCCATGGAGAATCTGGCATGACACGAGTGCCGGGAAGAAAATAGAAAACGCATCGGGAGCACAATCTGTCACGAACTCGGTCCGTCCTATGTCCAGGCTCAACAAAGATTGAACACTACGGCCACGGATGAGGATACACTCGTAATCGTTCATGAACAGAGGTATATTTGGAGACGACGCAAATCTTTCGGGGTGGCGAGAAATATTAAGACGCATTGGACGGGCGAGGCTAATCCGCACTTTGAATTCCGCTATTCCGTTCTGCAAACGTCTCCAAACGTTTTTACGGACGGCTAATTAGCTTAAAATGTAAATTTATCCATCTTATGCTGTATTTACAAATTTGGAGGTGCGGTGTTTGTACAGCTTTCACTAACAGGATCTAGTGTTGAGTCTAAGCTGGAGGCTGTAACACCAACTGCAAAGGGTGCCGAGGCAATAGGAAAAAGTGTGTTTGGACGCTCGGCATCGTGTGCGCCTGGTTGAGGAGTGCCATCACCTAGTGCCGCTACCGCAAGTAGTTGTTGGCGAATGTCAAGTTGGGAACAGGCGTTTTCGTCATCGGCGTCATCGAGTGCATTATAAAGTTTGTGCTTGTTGCCAAGACAGGATAGGAGCGAGCATAGGAAATGGGAACGATCCGGAGCACAAGTCTGGCGCGGCCCCTGTTTGACAAACACAACGGAGTGATGAAGCCACTTGAGATGCTACTGCTTTACCAAAGGAGTTGGCAGTTGCCCATGGCAGTTCAGACACCACACCTGTGACTTCACGTGTCGGACCACGACAAATACATTCTGAGCTTAAATGACGAAGTCTGATAAATCTCATCCTACAGATGTTGCTGCTACGACGACAACAATGCGCTAACGATATGAAAAGATCCAACGGCAATCGTATATTCTGTTGAGCTGTCAGACAGACGCGACGTCTGGGTGCTAAGTGTGGGTACAGGCTGATGTACATGCAACAAAAGGAAGCACCACGCAACGAAATGATTTATTTTGTGATGAGCGCGCCGCGTTCTCCACGCAAGCGTCACGTGCGATTGCTGCAAAGGCGACTTACTGGGCAGCGCCCATTGTTGGTGTAGGTGAGCCTGTATTTTTAGAAAAGCTTGGTGCTACTGGATAGGTACAGCATGGCGCTGTGTCGGTGCTCAACGGACAGAAGACAACGTGCTTGCGAACGGGTCAGCTGACTCCACTATTCATCTTTGAACTCTTCCGCAAACTAAAGCAGACTTATCCGACGCACCGGGTGACCCCTCTCTGACTTCATCAGGGCACACAGAGGACGTGCATACACTCCAGTTCAACCCGACAGCAGCGGACGTCCTATGCTCAACAAGCCACGATCTTTCGCTGCGCTTTGGAGATGTAGAGACAGGGCAAGAGATTACGTCAGGAGCGCAAGCTAGATAACATCGGCCCTTTGCGGTGATGGTGCTCTCTAGCCACAGCAAGCCGCTGAAGCTACACTTCGTGTTTCATAAAAAGATAGTTTATAGTGTTGCATCAATGGAACGAAAATCAGTAAAAGTAAGCTCTACAATCTTCGCACCTTTAAACTTCTTTATTAATGCGGATAAATCTAACTTTTGAGCAAATTAGCTGCTCGTAAATACGTTCGATGGCGTCAGCAGCGCGGAATAGCAAAAACAAAGTACGAATTAGCCTCGCCCGCATTGAACATAAAATTTAAACGAAGCAACAGAATGAAAGCGTTTGATCGGGTGATATTTTTGGGGGTTCAACGGATGTCAGCGACCGCACGCAACATCAAACGACACTCCTTCACGATGAACGACCATTGCTACAAATGTCAATTTCCATCGCCAAGAAGCACTAGATGCGGAAGCACGAGACTTGATTTCATGTTAGAGGAAAAAGGGAGCAAGCTCTGGGGCTCGACTTTTGTTATTAGTAGTTTAGTCTAGAGAACGGAATCACGTTCTGTGTTCACGTAACCATTCCGGGTGGCTGGTGGTAAGGGGATGGCTAGTGCGTTGTGTATCTGAAACGTGAAAGCGCTGATGAATTATGTGTGTTACAGCTACTTACTTCTGTTGTTGGTGCTGCGACCAGACGAATATGAGAAAAGGGAGATAGAGGATGAGCCCGCTCGTTTACGCCGTCAACGCCAAAGTGCGGCCAACGACATGTGATCGATTAATGAAAGCGATAAATGAAGTTGAGGGAGCTTTGTCTGCCACCGAGAGAGAGGAATTAACCATAAATTCCCACCTCACAATTTATCAGGTGCTACGGATAAAAGCACAGTACATCCACTGTTTGCTGGAGGTGCGAGACTTTCGCTGCCACTAAGTATCGGGCGTTTGCTGATTAGCCCTCGATTCGACCCGGGTCCCTTTTGAACCAATGACGTGCGGTTATGCTCTCAATGCGATCGCATCGGTGACCCGATCCAAGAGTGACATCGGTCATGCAAGATAGGTTGTATCGCACTTAGTACGACGTGGAAGGTACACTTAGCGTTGCTTACCGACACAGACAGACACAAAAAGTTGGTTTTTCAAAGCTCGATTTCACGTTGCGTACATTTACCAGTTACTTATGACCCGCAGTCATGCTAAACTGTAAACGCACCACGCTTGGCCTAATCTATAGCCCAACAACAAGTCCGCTGCTTTATAAACATCGAGATGGCCACATCTTACACAAATAGGTAGAACGCTCCACTGCTAACTGACCCGTTCCCAATAATTACCAACCCCGCTTTTCTTCTACATGTTGGCTACAACAGGCACGAGTCTTGAGCACGGAGAGCTGGTTGAGGGCGAAAATCGACGATTGTTGTCGGCAAAGGGGCTAGTGCTGACAGCTCTTGGGTTTTGCTCTCACTTAACGTCCTCGACTGATGGCGACGGACGTAAACAACGGCAGCGAGCACCACGACTGCTGCAGCCGCAATAGCACAGATGACAACCACGCTACTGCCCATGGTCGAGCTGCTGGAGCTCGCGTTCGAAATCTGATGGCTGTCAGCCAACCTTGCTGCATGCTTCCGCACTGATGCCGGGGAAGCATGAGACGGCACTTCGTCCGTCTTCAGAAGACTTTCAGTCGACTTGACAACAGTCTCGCCATCGATCGTGGAAGCCATGGCGATGGATGTGCTGCCTCTCTTTTGAAGCGACGTAGATTTCAGCAGTGGCAGGGCCGCATTGTACTTGGTCCAAAGCTTCTGCCCTTGGTCTTCATCCTGCTGGGTCTGATTTTGACTCTGTTCCGATTCCGTATCCTGCGGCATTGTCGCAAAGCTGTGCACCTTGCCGTCAATCATAGGGTACCCCTTCTCAGCTACCATAACGCCTTGGTTCCAAAGAGACTGGAACAAGTCGTTGAAGAAGACGCCGGCTCCAGGACCGTGCATCGAATCGGACGTGCGACCATCACACGTCCCATCACTGTCTCCTGGTGGCTTGGCCCAAATGAAGTAGTCGACGTTGCTCAGCCCTGTCTCCTTCGTAGGCAAAGCTCCGATCCCTGCACTCTTAACGTTGCACCACTCGTTCGACGCCGGTCCTCCATGATAACTGCGGGACGTGTCAAAGATGCAGTGCAGGTCCGTCGAGCCAATGGCTTGCTGGAACTTGCTGCACAGAGTCGCTAACGTGCTCGTGGACTGATAGTTGGACGTGTTGAGCATAATGCCCTTCACTCTGGACGTCGCTGACACGAGCTGCTTCACGATATCTGCTACGGCTGTAGACGTGGCAGGGTACTCGAGAGCCCAGTAGCCCACGTCCAAGTAAATCTCCGCATTCGCGTTCTTCTGGGACAACAACTTAATAGCAGTCTGCAGGTTGGCGAGGTATCCAGCCCCTTGGCCGCATTTTGTGGTATCTGCCAGCAGCCCAATAGCGTCCGGCTCGAGAACGTACAGCACCTTCCTGTCCCCGATTGCGGAGGCCAGTGTCGTGATGAACGCTGCATAGTCCGAAGCCGAGAAGACCGTGCCCCCACCCGTTGACTCTTGAGCAGCACAGTCTTTATTCGGCAAGCCATAGACGACGACACTGATCCGGGAGTCAGGGGGGCAAGCCGTCACAAGGTCAGCTGCGAGCTGGGCATAGTCTCCATTAACAAACCGATCGGAGTACCACGTTGCGATGCTGTATTTCTCCAGCGCCTCAATGGCGAAGGCGGATGCCGGGTACGCGGTTTTGGCTTTCGCATACGAGACTGGAGGCAGGGAACATAAAGGATCAGCAGCTCCTTGCACGGGTTTCGAGTCTGCAAAGAGCACGATGCAGGAGAGGATCGAAGCGGCTCGAAAGGAGCGCCGCATTCTGAGGCAAGCGAGCGAGAGGGACACGTCGAAGGCAGCAAGTTGCGAGTCAAGCAAGACACGGAGAAATCGCGAGTGCCCCGGCGTCTGGGCTGACGGAACGGAGACCACGCTGCAGGTTTCCACCATCACAACGGCCGATCTTGACCAATCCAGAGTGACCCGACGTGGCGCGCGCCCAGATACAATCGCGGCTGGCAGCTCGACGCTCCCTGGTCGTTGGTCCAGGGGCAGGACACCTCGGTGTCTTCAAGGTGACTGACTGACCTGACGGACTGACATAACTGACTCACTGCCTCCAGTCAGTCGGGCAGTCCCTCTCTCTTCGTGCAAAGGTGTCAGGAGAAGGGCTGAACCCGTGCGACTGTCGCACTTGGTGCTCGGTTTCGCTCCCTCAACGTCCAGCTCCCGAGTGGTGCCCCCTGATAGTCGAGAGGGTGCGTTCGTGCTTGCTCCTGCGGCCAGAGCCAAAACGTTGCGAGCGACGAAGCTGAGAAAAGGCAGTCGTCAAGACGTCAAGAGAGGACACGCACCGCTTCCTGGTAGACACGAGGAGGTGTCCCGCACGAACGTACAAACCCACGCACCCACTTGTGTGAAAGAAAGCAAACAACTACGTGCATTTTAAGCTGTCGGTCTCGCTCGCTCGCGTTCGGATCCACTACGTCCTGGTGGTTGCCAACCCGCTCGATCCAGAGCCGAATCGATAGCGACCGCATGGAGGAATAGCCAGCCGTCCACTGCGTCGAGCGTCTTCGCCCACCAACCACATCTCCTCCTCATGCAGCAAAAGCGATGGACAGACAATGACGGCGCGACGTTTCTCACTGCGTGGAAGTGAAAGAGCCTCATCCCCGTCCAGATCCTCACAGAATCGTGCTGCCGCCGTCAGGCGTGCGTCTAATCTCAATGTGAATGTTCTCATGGTCGCCCGGGGTGGCGAGCGCCGCGTCGGTTTCGCGCGCTTTCTTCACTTGGGACACGGCCAGCCCCACCACAGCCACCGCTGCCACGACCCCGGCAATCATGAGCCCCGCCGAGCCCGAAAACTTGCTGTTCTCGCTGTCGTCAGTCGACTGGGTCTCGACATGCTGAGCAGCGTGCTCAGGCTCCTCGTCCTTCGTCTTCTGTTCCTCCTTCTCCTCCTCCTCGTCCATTGCAACGCCAGTCTTGGCAGCTGGACCCTCCGGGGTCGAACTGCTAGGAGCGACCGGAGAGGGTTGAGGCTCCTTGGGTGATGCCGCTGGTGAAGGTTGGGGCTTCACGGGTGTTATCACTGGAGGAAGTTCAGGTGTTTCCACTGAAGGAGCTGAACTTCCAGCGGGGATGGTCGGGACCTTGGCATCTTCGGTCCCCTGCTCTTCGTTCTTGTGTTCGGGAGGGAAGTTCGGCTCGCAGTCGGACACGTGCGAGCTCGTCTCCTTGACGGGGTTCATGGCAGAAGGGGTTATAGGGGGATACCCTTCAGTGCCCGCGGGCATGTACGGGCCTTCGGGGCTTCCGTCAGTAGTTGAGGGTGGGAGCGAAGTCCCTTGGGGCACAGCCAACGTCTCGTCGGAGAGTACAGCCGCGATCACGGCCGTGCAGACAGCCAACTTGTGGAACATCTTCGCTCTTCAGGTCTTTTTCAAGTCTGTGGCAGCTAAAGAGAGCGAGAGAGAGAAATTGAGCGACGTGCTGCTGCTGCTGCTGCTGTGTCCCTCCCCGCTCCAGCTGGAGTCAGAGCAAGCACAGATCGAGTCACGTGCTCGGTAGGCAAAGGCGGGTGGGGTAAAACTCAGTCGTTATCCGCGAGAAGGGGCTCGCGTCGAGTCGATGCAACGACCGTGTCGCCCTTCGTTGCGAGCTGAACCCTGGGACGGACGGACGGACGGACGAACTGACTGAATGCCGTGGAAGATGCGGCGTTCGTGTCTATTTATTCGCGAGGTAGAGTAGGAGCAGATGGAATATCTAGGGAGCGGCTTTGAGGCGATAGGCGGCACACATCGAAGGCTGTGCGTGCGTTCGAAGCTCGTGGTGGAGCTGAACCCTCGGGTCTCACGGACCTGCGAAGACGCCGGAACTGAGGCGGACCGCCTTCTGTGCCTCCAGATAGTGGCAGCATGCTGTCGCCTGACCTACTCTGCTGTGCGTGCTAGCAGCTCTGTCCACACTGCAACGTGCAGCGAGCGCGGTTGTCGCCACATCGAAACGGCAAAGCTTTGCCGATCTCCTGGACGAAGTCACGATCAAATCGACGGTGAACTTCACCACTCAAACTTTCATTACGTGCGGGGCTTACGCATTTCGTGGAGCCTGCTGGCCGTCGCTGCAGCTTGCAGCTCGTGCGCTTTACCGTTTATGCACGTTGCGAGTTATTTGCTGCTGGCGATGCGCTTAGCGTCTAGAGATGGGATCACCGGTACCACACTTGTAATCGTGGATACGGCCACACTGACGTGCACAAGTAACTGCTCAAGTCGACAAGTGGTTGTAACGAATTCATCACATGTTCCGTGGTGTCAGCACGGTAGTGATGGTGTGTGGATGTGGAAGGCCTTCACTGGCTGTACGAAGGCCGTTGTGGCGTCTGTACACATACAAAGAGCACAATAGTTAATTGTCCGTCTTTTGCAGTGTTACATATAAAACCAAGCAATGAGCCAGGCGTGGCTTCCACTTCGCCGGTTCATGTCGGAAAAATTCGGTCGGATCACACCATTACACAGACGTGCAGTCGGAAGAGCTGAGTTCACGTCGAGGTCCTAGTGCAGTCAGTACGACAGTTGTCGATAGAACAGGCGATGCCGACACAGGCTGATCGTTGGAATCGTAGACCTTGGTCCAGCCCAGTTGAAAGGGCGTAACACAAGCTATAAATGCGCACGGACGGAAGCACGCATTCTATGTTCCTGTCTCCAAGACATGAATACGCAGCTCTGCATGCCAAAGCACGAAGCGCGCGATGCGCGTCACGATGAGCTGGCACGTACATCAGTCTAAAGGTAGCAGTTGTCGCGCTGGCGTGCGGACCGCGCGTCAGAGCAGGGACTCCATGGCTTCTAAATTTCTTTTGCTGTCGCACACACTATGGAGGTTTTGCGGGTCAACTTAATCGACCGTCGAGGTATTTTTCACAATGTGAAGCGTCCACATGTTCGAGATGCCACGCGTGTCGCTGACGCTCGCGACAGTTGTCGATGCGGTGGCCAATGCGTCAGTACTGTTTTGTGATAGTCACAGCAGGGGGTTGTCTGAACTGTACCCAACGAAAATCTGCACCGTACATAAATCCCGTGCCCACTGATTTGTGCGATTAAATCGATCGAAAAAAGAAAATATTATTCGATCTATTCTCGAAAAATAAAATAATGCTCTGGTGCTTTTCGATTCTATTTTGTGTATCTGACAAAGGACAGCAGTCTAACTGAACCTTTGGCTCTGACTCGGTAGCAGAATTTAACGTCGTGACGACTGAGTACAAGAACATTGGCCTAAGGTGTAAGACGTTGGTGGACAGGACAGGATTTGTCCGCTGTGGCGTCCCTACTGCCAGAACACACATAACTTGATCTTTGTGGTCGACACGAATAGTCGCGATCGTGCGGATGCTGAACGAGGACGAGCTGCACCGCAGACTGAACAAGGACGAGCTGTGGGACGCAATGCTGCGGGAGGTCTCAGCCGTGTAATGTTGCGTCCATTGCTGTAAAAATTACTCGCATGTTCATTATTTGGTATCAAGAAGCACGTACGTTTCCGCCACTTTGTGTGGATAGTGACTTAGAATGAGATGTAGCAAAGGCAAAATACAACGACGGTGCAGTAGTAGGGCGCAAGATTGGTCCTATTGCTAAACGATTAATCGTTCCGGTTTCGGATCGTGTAATGATATGTGAACATTTGACGGGAAAAGGATGTTTTACATGCTATCTGATGCTATAATGCCGAAAATTAACGAAGGAAATTAAATGGTGCACTTTGTGATATTGTGTCTTGAACAAGCTCGGAAATTTATAAAAATAAACGCAAAACACGCTAAGTACAATCATAATAGCTTATATCAGTGGACACGGAACTTGGGTACGGTGCGGATTTTCGTTGGGTACGGTGCAGACAAGCCCGCACAGCAGGCACAAGTATGAACACCTGCTTCCACCGCTTACTTTTGTCCGCGCCTGACACCTCCAACTGTTTGCGTCTCTCGGCTGGACGTTTGTATCGGCCAAATGGCATTCGTTACTCTCGGTCATGATGAAAGACGAAAAAGAGTTTGCAACACCGATTGACGATGCAAGGACGCAGTCCTTGCATATTGACGGGTTACGTGTAGACAGCTGGAACTTGTGCGACAAATCGTGACGAGGTTGTGTGAACATTCAGGTTGAGGGAGTTAGATCAACACGCGTACCAACAAGAAACACTCACTCTTTTGAACCGTACGACAATCACGGCGACGGATGGCTTCGAATAAACAAGGCGATACGTCCACAATCATGCAAATACCTTGAAGTTGCCTCTTTCTCCATTAGCCGAGGAGGCCAAACGAGTGTCAGCTCATAGTTTGGAAACGGCGTGCAACAACGAAAAAAAGAGTGTTTAATCAAGCGCACGTATCAGGTGGTATGCCCGACAGGTTTTCATGTTCAGAACGTTGATGCTGAATTGCATAAGTGTAAGCATCCGGGACACCAGCACAAGCCTGACTTTCTGCTCGTACCTCATGTGTGCTGATTGGTCACGGTAAAATCGTCCATACGGCACACCGAGTTGCAGTATTTATCATCAACAACTGAAGCAATAGTCTTCTGCAATAAAGTCAGGTTGCTATATCGAATGTAACCTCTGTCCCTGTCATCATCCTTCTTCGAATGGAGGCGTCGCAACGGCGATAGCAATAGATCAAAGGTAGTCAAAGTAGGTGCATCGAGCTGTGGCGCGATCGCTCCTGATCCGAGTGTAAGTAGTGCGGCGACCGACTTTAAATCAGCGCTTCTTTCTGTGTTGTGCCAAGCCGTCTGAATTGGCATGAAGCTCTGGCGGATGCTCGTGCGTTAAGGAGTCGTAGCAAGCCTGGTGACCTCGCTAATGGTTTGCAGAGCTACGATACAGAGTTTGAAATACAGAAGACGATTGCGTCCTCTCGGTGCAATCGTCGAAATCAATACATGCACTACTAATTTTACAAAAATTAGCCGTGCTAGCCCTCATTTACAGATTTATCTGGCACTAAGTGGCCGGCCAGGAACGTGGATACTCTTGATCGTGTGATTGTCAAGTGCAAACTAAAGATGCCGACTGCTTTCATTGCGTCTGTTACCGTCCATTCTCGTCGTAAATGCCTATAATTATTTATATGAACATGTTATTTACCGCGATAGCTTCGAGAGATGAAAGCAGTGTGTTGGTCCATAAGGTACAGCCGGCACCTTGTGGTACTACCCACGTGACGTGAGCTCTTGTCAAGTGCGATCGTGCATATTCTTTTGGGAGTTGGTAAATAGTCTTCTCATCGCCGTGATTGCACGGCATGCGTCAAGTCGAGCATGGGCCCTTCGAATTGTACACCCTTAAGAAGCAAATGCCGCCGCATAGATAATCGGACGATCGGCAAGCCAATCAAGTTGGCAACCAATCGAGTGGCTGTGGTTCCATTCAAACGTTGAGTCATCGCAGTTTTGTAAGAATAAATTTCAGCAATGATTCAGATGTCAAGTGCCCGGGTGATTCGCTTCAGCTTCTTCCAGTCCAATACTCAGAAACATTGAGAAGACGCTGCACACACTCACGATTCGCCAGGTCTTTATGCACGGACGCCTACGCCTGCATATTAACAATTTCTGACGTCTTATCAGTGCGACCGTTGCGTCGATCCAATTACTTGCACATGACCGATATCTATTTCAACAGACCCCGATCTCTCTGGCTTGAGGCCGACTTCCCACGCACCAGAAAGTACAGCTCATAGAGCCGTGCAGTGAAGCTATTAGAACTACGGCCGTGAGTCCGGCACTCGCATGCGTCACGTGCATATGACACAAGCTATATGTGAGCGAGTCTCAAAAAATTGATCAGTTGAGGCGCTGTTTTGAGGTTTTGCTCGTCATCTGTGCAGCAGCTCGTGTCACGATCAGTAGCGCAATTTTGGGCGCAGTTATATCGGCGCTTGTATCAAGAAGGAAATGTGCTTCCCTGTACTTGATTTCCTCACATTCTATGCGGAAAACAAGTTGGAAAATGGCACGGAAGAATAGGACTGCAGGCAAGATCGAATACGAGAGAATGATTGATCGGATTTTAATTTATAGGAGTGGATGATTGGGTTCCTATCCACGAAAAGTGAAGACGCGACGCTCTTTGCGAACTTCGTTTCGTTCAGTACAAGAGAAATGTCTTTGTTTTTCTTCACTTTCGTTCTTCCAAAAGGAGCTTCGCTAGTGAAAGTCCGCATCGTGCGCTTCCTTCCTGATGGTAGTTCGGTTGCTTGCGAAAGTACGAAACGAATATGAGCATGTGAGGAACGATGTCAGCATCATCATCAAAGATTACTGATAGCTATCATACACCCGACGAAATACGTTCGTCAACATGTCGACGCAGGGAACGAAAGTACGTTTTCTCCGTGACATTGGTCTTGAAGAAAGTAACTGTTTCGACATTCATGTGGACCTCAAACTAAGTTGAGCTAAAAATATTCTGAGCTACCTTGTCTTTGTCGTCTCAAGCTTGGACTTTGGTATGTCTACTGCCCGTTGGCGAGCATTGTGCTTTCACCTTGGTGCCTCAACCACCTTTTCTTTTGTCCTAAAGCTTGACGACTTTCTGCACTATCACGTGCGCACACCTCACGCAGAAATACTGATCCATTAGAGGGCACACTTTTTGGCATGTTCAAGCAACTCGCCTGCATCTAAGCAAACCTGACCTCGAACTTGACCTTACCACAAGGACCGATTGTTGCCAGCAACTCACGATTGTACGACCTGTACGAACTCGCCGCCTACTTTGGGTCCTGTGGCGAACGCCATTCGTGGGGATTCAGACGGTGCGGACTTAAGTTGCTGACTTTCTGCAAGCTAATTCCGTTCAGGAAGTCGGTTCGCCCCAAATTTTTTGTGGGATACCTACATCGACAGAAATGGATACAGAAATTCGATCAGGCCTGCCCCCTTCTCATTTGTATGTGAATGTTCAAAGTCACTCTTTGGCTAGGTCACTATTGTGACGCTTAAACTCAATCAAAGACGAAAATTATCATGTAAGCAGCTCTAGACGCTCGAAAGCAAAGGCTAATCGCGCTTCATGAGATCACTGCTGCGTTAATTTAGACATCTACAGCATCATTCTTCAGTGACTGCTGCTATATAGTCTATTGCATCACTTGATCCAGTTCTATAAACTGAATACAAAGAGCGAGCGAGCTCCAGAACTTGCTCCCCTTCTAAATGACGTTTTCGCTTTCTCATATTAATAAGAAGAGGCTTGTGCTTCACGCAGCGGAAGCAAATATTGCCCTCAGCCGCTTTTGCTTTCGCTGATGTTTGGCTGACGATCAACGTATTACGAACTTTTTTTGATGCTGGTTCTTAGATTACCGTGTTTCAATCACAGTACATGTAGACCTGTATAATCCAAGAGTTAGAGCAGTTTCGCAAAGTGCCTGCGGTAATTTTACGGCAGTTTGATACCTACTTTGCGCTCAACGTACGGCATGACTGAACGATACTGGGGATGTAGCAGCGTTTTTTCTGTTAATCATACAGGGTGGCGCGGCGCAAGACATCAAGTTCGTTTTTAAAATCCCTTTACTCTTTAAGGTGAATTGTGTTCTCCAGAAAGATGTTGCATCTTGTAAGTAAGCACCACAGGTGTAGATGCGCACGCCTTCTGTACGTGAGGACCAGCAAATAGTGGAATGGGCAGCGAGCTGCACAAAAGAGTACAATCATCACATAAATCTGTCTTGATTGAAAGGCCATGGTCCAGTGTTCTGTCGTTTTAATGAGTGTAAGCTCGGTAGTTATGTCAATAAACTTGATTTTTGGCATGGAAACTGACATGAAGACGAAAATAGTTGCTGTTGAAATGGAGTTTGTGAGGAAGGGTCTTTGCTGGGCTCTTGCTTCGTGACTCTGGTGCTACCTCACAGCTGGAGACTCTTAAGACCTAGCTTATTCGTACGGATGCGGGCTATTCCATAGATAACCATTACTTTACCCGACGTACATCCGAATCAAGCGCTAGTACGATTCAACACAGGTGGTGTGTTTCTTTCCGGACAATCGATATTGCAACGACGATATACTCATGTGCCAACGGCTGAGCCAGCAGGTGTGTGCCACTTCTTTCTCGGATGCACTTGCGTCTCGCTCAAATCATGTTTCCTGAATCTAGCAGATAGCACATCATCATTGATTCATCTTGTGGAATTGCATCTAGGCTCCAGTAGTTGCGAAATCGTCGCCCAGAGGGTCTGACGCTACATCGGGTTGGCTAATTTCCACTCTTACTAACTCACGTTCTCAATGTTACACGCAAGCTGAGGCAGCATACGCCTGATGAACAGTTATGCATGTTAACCCGTGGAAAGCAATTTTATGACACCGATGTGTACGTGGTGTGGTCTGGCACAATCACTGCGACGCGATTTAAAGCTTGTAGCGTGAAGGCTTCCTCAAGAGTTTCAATGTAATTTCTATGTATTCCTACAAATTGGTTCGTGTTGGTGCGGTAAACAAAACGGCTCGGTGTTCAGCAAACAATGAGACGGTAATGCCACGTTCACTTATCTTACGGCCTGACGCACCGACGGTGAAAAGCGCAAATGAATCAAGTGATCGACATACGCTCGTGGTGATCTCCATCCATACTCGCTGATTTGTACCCGTTCGTGTGTCTCATGGGACTACAAAGTTTGAAGGTCGCAGGAAGACACGAACATATTGTCGTGAATCGTCATGTGTACCCGCCTGATTCGCACCTGCGATGTCGCCAATATGAGCTCGCTGTTCGTGCTGTCTGAATGTCACATACTCGCTTGTACTTTGACCACCACAACCGCGTTAGGGTGAGATCGACTAGATTGTTCACAAAGTGTGTCAGTTTCTACCTCATGCAAACTACGAGAAGCCAACGAGTCAGTATTGTAACTCATCGTATGTTACCCGATAAGCCCAACCAGCCGTTACCTCAACGTCATCACAGCCGCAAGATTCGACCTAGATTCATGCACAGCGACCGCACTCACGTCAGCCATGCGTTGAGCATGTTGTGCGCTGGATCGATCAATTCATCCCGCAAAGTTATGCGTAGGGATCCGATAGCTTCCGTCATGATTCTCCGCTTTAGACACCGAACTGCGGGTGCTTAATGTTTGACCGACATACATGATCAGTGTCACGTCGTACCCACACAACAAGTATGAAGCAATGTCGAACAAACCTACGACGTCGGTCTGTATTCAAAATTCACACTGGGTAGCAGATCGACCGATCAGGTCGCTCACGTTATTGTGTAGCTCTGCTCGAAACTCGACTATATTTTTTGTACGCCATTTCTACCATCGTGAGATATATTTCAGGCGATTGTCTCAGGAATTGTGGCCCTTCCAATAGTACCGAGAAAAGCTCGTGCCGTACCACTTCTGTCATAATGTACAAGCTCACGCCACTGCTTTTGCTTGAAGAGCGACTCGCAGCACCACTTTTACCGTTTGCTGTCATCGCTGCTAGCTGTGCGACTGACCTGATTACATACAGCATCATCTCGACACGTTTGATCTGCCCAGCTGTCCAGTCAAAAGTCAAGTGGAGCATAAGAGCACCATCGAACTCAGATCGCAGGGGGATAGCCCCAGGTCCCTACTCCAGCTCGACAACAAACGCCCGATCCGATCGCTGCAATCGTTCTCTCAATATTTGACCAACGTGACTGAAAACGGCCACGACACAGGGCCAAACGAGCATAACGTGGGACTCGCGGGACGGTAAGCGCGCGCGTGTCAAATGAATGGCCGGCCGTCGTTTGAACCCCGTCCCCCTTCCCAGCTTGAACGACCCGACAGACGCTGCCGTAGAAACCTTTGACACGCTCAGCATGGGGCAAAACGCGTGGCCCATCCGTCTCGTCGTTGCCAGCTGGACGGCCGCTAATCAATCACGACGCGGGCTCAGCGTCAAGCAGTTGAAGGTAGAGGCGACCTGTCGACGACAGCGACACAAGAAGGAGAGCCCTTCTTGTGTACATGATGCAGTTGGGACCCGTCGCTCCCTCTAGCTCATCGCGCGGGTGGCCCAGGCGCATTCGCGGCAAAAGCTATTGAATGCATACGCGCCCATGGAGCGGAGCCTTACATCCACAACTACCCGCCCAATGCCTTGGTCACTACGCATCAAAGCTTTGGTGAACTATTCACATGATCCATTCTGATCCACCACATCAAGACGCTCGCCGTCAGCCCGCGACCTTTAGCAAACGTTCCAAGCGCGACCGCGAGGGAGAGAGCGCTCGCATCTGCGCCACAGCGCAGCAGTTGCAGTTCCGCCCCACCCGCCACCTGTTTTCTTCCGCCTTGGCTATGCGAAAAGCCAAGTCAAGTCAAGCCAAGCCACACCCGCCCAGTCGAGTCGCAGCAGTGCAGCCGGTACCAGCCGCTTCCCCCGTCCACTTGGCGCGCGCTCAGACGAACGAAAACCTTCGTGTCAGCCGTTGCCCGCCACTCGTCGCTTTTCCCACTTGGAGTCCCAGAGAAGCGCAAAATTTCGTCTTTTGCCGAGTCACTCGCTCACTCGCTCCGTCCGTCGGTCGGTCGGTGCCTTGCCCGTTCCTTCCTCGCTCATTCCTCAACTCGCCAGCTCGAGCCCAAGCAGCTGGAGCCGTGCGGCCGGTTCTGTGTCTGTCCCTCGTCCGACCTCATTCCCTCGCTCGCCTCCCCCCCCCCGTTGTCATGCCCGGTCCATTCGTTGACGTCGTGGCCGTCGCGTCGCCCACAACAGCCGCCGCGCCGTTCAAAGACGTCCCGGGTGTCGTCCCCGTGCGGGAGGGACGGTCGCAGTCGCTCACGGCGCTGCCCCGCCGCGCCTCCACCGCCAGCGTGCTCACGGTCGAGCGCAGCGCCTCTGCCTTCCACCTGCAGCAGGACCAACAACAACAACAACACGCGCGGCAGACGCGACGCGCCCTCAGCTCCGCCACGAGCACGTCCTTGAGCCTCTTGCAAGAGGAACTGGGCTACCCCCGACGGGCGCAGGTCTCAGCCTACGACGGCGCGAGCTGCAGCCGTCGCCGGTCGTCAGTCGTCGACACGTCGTCGGCCGTCGCTCAGCCCAACGACGACGACAACGACGACGACCATCGCCGTCCACTCCCTCGTCGCCTCCACAGTACCACTAGCCGCCCTCATAACTCTTGTAACAATCTCACTAGTAGCGGTAGCAGCAGTAGCAGCAGGTGTGGGGGCGCTCTCTAGTCGCACGCTCTTCAGCTCGAGCGACGACGACGATGGCGCGTCTGTGCCATGGCATGACCGGCCGTCGTCGTCCCTGGACCGAGACGGAGGCGACGAGGACGAGAACTTTATGAACTACCGCCGCGCGTGCGTGACGGGCTACAGCCGCGACACGGACGGCGTCGTGTACTACGAAGTGATTGTCAAGAGTCTCGCCCACGGGCCCTTGTCGGCGTACAAAGTGCGACGGCGGTACTCGGAGTTCCGTGCCTTGCACGTCGCTCTTCAGCGCGTCATGGCCGTCTCGGCCGTCACGGCTCTGGCTCGGCTTCGGGACGACAGTAGCAAGAGTCAAGAGGACGAGGAGGAGGAGAAGGAGGAGGAGGAGGAGGAGAGGAGGAGGAAGACGAGACGGGACGCTACTAGTCGAGACAGGAGGGACGACGAGCCGACGTTGCCGCCGCTGCCGGACAAGGGCGGCGTGTGGAGCTACCTCCAGTTCGACAGCATTCCGCTGTTGGAGCGGCGCGCCAAGTACTTCCACGCGATGCTCGCGGCGGCCCAGCGGCATCCAAAGGCTCGGGCGAGTCGCCTCTTGAACGACTTTGTCGGGACTCCGCCGGACCTCGTGTCCCTCTACTCGAGCGTCGAGAATAGCTACGTGAGCTTGAACCGGTTTGCAGCGCCCAAGTTGAGCTTTGCCATTGAGATCCAAGAGAGGAAGGAGAAGGCCGAGAGCATCCGACGGCGACGGAACTCGCTGCATCGCCAGAGCTTTACGGGCTCGTTGGATGCCAGTTTCCTCAGCTCGTGTCCCTCGCAGTAGCGGCTGCAGCAACTGCCGTCGCTGTCTTTTGCATTGGACGACGACGACGACATGCAAGAAGAAGGTGAGGGAGTATCACCGCTACTGCTACTACTACTACTACCACCCCGCCAAAGGCGAGACCTCCTGATGACGACGTCATCGTCATTTCCTCCTGCTCGAGGGCAGCAGAGCTTGGATCGGTTTTGGATTCCTCATGATGATCGATTGATCGGTCGGTCGGTCGGTCGGTCGATCGATCGATCAATCGTTCTCCCACCCGTCGTCCGTTTCGTTTTCGTGTCCGTTCGTCAGTCACTCAGTCAGTTAGTCAATCAGTTCGTCTGTAATGGAAACATATAGTCCACGTGCCACGAATGCAGTTGCGTCCACTGTCGGTCGATCGTCTGCTGAGCATTGGGACACCACCAAGCGCTTTCGTAGTGTGATTCCAGTTCTTCATAACCTCGTGTGAGTTCGTGAAGTATGTGAATGGACACGTCCTTGACAACTGAACTCGAGTCCCTGTGTTTTTGAGTTACCTATCTATACACGCGCACAAAGAGCAGCTGATCTGTCGATGCGATGATTGATTACCTACCTCTTACCACCCCACCCACGCCCGAGTCAAGCAGCAATCTACAGCTCAAAACGCACATACTCGATGGGTCAGCACCTCGTCCACACGCGCACGCTCGATTCAATTACGGCGGCACGATCTTGTAAATGTAGTCTGCAATCTCCGGGTCCAAGTACTCGGCCAATTCATCTCGCGTGACCCATACGTAGTCTACCGCCTTGTCCTGATTCAGCGCGACCTCGCCACCCAGAAGCTGCGACTTGTAGAAAAACACTTTCGTGCCATCCACCGCCTCCTTCTCCTCGTGCAGGTACTTGACGTACCCCATGGGTCCAAACCCCATTGGCGCCGTCCTCATCTCGTCGCCCACCGTCTCATGAACGTGTCGATTGGCAGCATCCCGCATCTTCTCGCCGTCCATCTTCGCTCCCACAGGAAAGAACCAGGAATACTTGACGCTCTTCTCGTCCTCCATCTCCCCCTCGCTGCGCTTCACCAGCAAAAACACACGCCCCTTCAGCGCTCGATTCAGCGACTTGCGATTGTTCATCGCATCGTCCTCGGTCTCCCGGGGCGCCAAGTGGAAACCCGCCCCCACCAACTCGTCCGGATCGTCTTGTTCGTCCGGCCCCGGCACTTCCTCGGGCGTCACATGGCGCGCCCCGGGCTCCATGAACCAGAATCCGTCCTCCAGTCGCTGGTCCTCCCGCAGCGCCTTTTCGTGCTGCAGGACCTCAAAGTCCATCTCCCAGTCGCCCACATCCGGCTGAATGATAGCCAGACGCTCGACGATGCCAGCACTTAAGATCCGCCAGTTTCTACCGTCGTCCAAAGGCGGCGAGATGAGAAAATTTGGACGACGGGAGTTTTGACGCCGCGGTTGACGGGGCGCTGGCGGATGGCGGCGACGCTCGTCCAGTTTGGCTTTTTGACGCCATGTGAGCCGCTTCTTTGGGGCAGAAGCGAAGGCGCGAAGGTGAGGAGGAGGAGACGAGGCGCGGGGAGGCGCGAGCGCGAGGCGGCGGAGCGCAAACATGCGGAGGAAGACGCCGAGGTGGGCGGCGACTGGCTGGCGGCTGGTGGTGGAGGGTGCGGACACGAAACCGGTTTTTGAACGGAATTTGTACGATTAAAATGATGTGAGAGAGAGAAGTGGTTGGTGGTGATCCCTCTTTGTTGGAATAATGAGTGGTTGACTCGGACGGTTATGTTGTGTTTTCAGGTTTGGAGTCGTGTTGGTGGGAGGCTGGTGGGGGATATTGTGCTTCCTATCCTGCAACGCATGATGAGCTTGGATTCGATTGGCCGATGCCCCGTCACGAACTTACCAGTTTAATGGCAATTACGCTCTGATTGGGTCCACGAAAGCAAGTTTCTAGTAAAAAAATATGACTATTGAATGCTGGAATGGATCAGGTTGTACGCTAGCTGTAAGCGTGTTTATACTAAGTGGGGCGCAAAGAGCGAATGTAGGACTAGTAGTGTAGAATGCTGACGTGCGGGAGGTCAAGGAGCTCGATCTGGACATTTTTGCTAAATGGACCAACCTGTAGCGAAATGAACTGGCTCCATGACTTCGACTGGTTGGCGAATAGCTCACGCTTAACAGGATCGTTCTGTAAATCTTTTACTACTTGGCATCGACCTAGAGTCTAATGGCATATCGACACCATGTTAAGCAGTCAATTTCTTGAAAGGCAAGTGGATTCGATCTTTGGCATTCTTGCATAGAGAGCGTAATGGTGCATGTCATATTACTATACGAAACGCCCCTCTCATTCATCCTTACAAGCTCGATCAAATAGCCTTGATGTCAAAACATTCTTTCTAGACGGCCTGGTAAACCCATTAGAATATGCTGCTGATGTTAGATTCATTTGCCATCGACTGAAGTGCTTGGCACGAATACAAATAGATGCTGAACAGGTTCCTCTTACGCCGCTTGCAACGCACCCGGCCATGGCAGTTGCGCCAAACGCAGCGATGTTACAATCTCTTTCTAATAGATCGGCGCATCGTAGAGCTTTTGGTCATGCTTTGTCGGCAAAGAGGTACTACACTTTACGCAGCTCTTTCTTCTCCAACATAGCACGCATCGTTGCATCTTCTCAATCTTTTCGCCTCGAACGACAACAGTACGATGATACTGTAGTTCATGCTTGCTTCTTGTGGGTTGGTAGCACTATTGTGCTGTTCGGGTCGTTGCGAACTGGCACTTAGCTGCCTACACTGATAGGCCGATTCGGTGACAAAGGAATGTGAGCTCGTCAGGACGTCATTTACCCCAATAAACAGCTTAGACATCTCCGAAAGGGCTTGCAGGCACTTTCTACTCAAAGCACAACAGTAGGAGTCAAGTCTCGATTAAGCATTAGTGTTGCGCCTATTTTCTTCTCCTGATAACCCCATTTTTATGCAGTATGTACGACCGCGTACGGTCAAATGCATCCAAACTGATGAGAAAAAAGAATTGTTGTGGTGGAGCAGTGTGATCTCTACCCAATTAGCTAGTTCCGCTTTCATGGGCCATAGTCGATTTGTTCAAGCGCTTGTACAAAGTAGCACACGCTTAAACTGCTTGTCTTGGCACTTGCAATGGACCAGAGTAGCTGATCCAAACGTTGGAGAGAAACCATACCGTGTCGATCAGAGCATGCATATACCGTGTATGTACTCTATTTTTCTTGTTAGCAAATGAAGTCGATCGATGAGGTAATGAGGCGCAAAACAACGGGGTTATGAAGCTTCTTGAGCATCAACAACACGGCTTTTAATGACGAAATTTGCCTGACACAGGATAGTCAAAGCGTCAAATGTTACAGTAAAGATGCGATGGCTTATTGTCAGCCTGATTACTAGGCAAATTATAATGGAATGTACAAACAAGACGGCTAAACCGCTTGTGGCATAAACGGTGACGGCAACGAGCTTCGTAACTGAGGCTTGCCGATCGATCATGCATTGCATTATTGGATAGTGAGCATAGCACGTTTATTTTCACGCACATGACGAGGGCCTGGTGCGACGTGGGGAAGCATTCAATGTTTCTACAATGTCCTGTAGACAATTATACGCCCGGTATCACTCCAACAAAGTCGTTTGAGCGTTTTGCATCCAGTCACGACGAATTCAGCCAGCAACGTATGGACGGTACAGGATTCCAGCAACGCGAACACTCTCCGAGTCATATCTCTTTGTTGAAGAGTGGGTGGTTGTATCGGCCAGGAACCTTAGCGCCAGCTTCCGAATGTTCATACCCATTGATGGCGACAATGTTGCGTCGGGCGTCAGACGCGGCGGATCGAGCGATTGGCGGTGCACTACGACGATCTTTCACGATTTTTGTCCATCCATCAATCTCGACGCGGTCTTGTGCACTGAACAGTAAACGATGGCGCGTTGCTAACGCCAACACACCCTCGACAATCGTTGCAGCCCATGCTACATTCACTTTGTCGGACAACGTGCGCAGTAGCGGCATCAACTCAGTATGTAGCTCAGGTGCCAGCGCCACTTTCTCTTGACCTTTTCCCTTGTCAATCGTCTTTTCAAATCGAAACTTTACGGCCTTTGCAGCTTTGTTGAACTGATACGTTTCGTCCGTGCACAGCTGCTTGTGTGTAACGACGGAGAACTTCCATGCGTCGAGTTTTCGCTCTCGCTCTCTCCGCTCACTATCGTCTCGAACACTTAGAATCACGTCGCGCTTTGTATCGAGCATCTCCATGAGTGTTTGCAACTCTTTCCACTCGGTCTTGCAGCTCAAAGTCCCGCGCTTTTCGTCCATGACCGTAGTCAAAGTCTGTAGAAAGAGTGCACTTGACTCGGAGGTCAAGTGATCCGAAATGAACTGGCTGAACAATGCACTGGCTTTGGCAAATGTTTTGTCCATGAGCTACAACATGTACACACGATATGGTTGCATCGCAACATTATCAGCACAATTAAATAGGAACAATAGCCAAAATGGGCTCAGATCTAAGCAAAAATAAAAGAACGAGAGAAAGCAGAATGTCTAATCGTCCAGTCGTGTGCCTAAATACGAGTACTAATCGCTATAATTACAACAGATAAGACGAGTCCGACATGACGCACCAGGTGTTTTTCAAGTTTTTTCATCGTGTCAGAAATGCCCCGCGGTTTCTTTGCAAGTCGCGGCCGCTTGACAGTTGCACTAGGATCCGTCGCTGTCGTACGATCGTCTTCTTTGTCGCGGTTGTCATTCTTTTGTTTCGCCTCGTCTTTTCGTTGACGCTTAGTTTGTGGAGGGATGTTCAAGCCGCTGTACAAGTCGTTGACCGGTACATCCATTTTGTCTTGATGTGTCGGTTTGTCTGCAGAGTCTGTCGAATAAAAATACTCTGTACAGTGATAATTTATAAACTATTCATTGTGTAAGTCGATGGTGGTGGTCCACACACTCATCCTCTTCTATGTAATTCTTCTCGTAAAAGGACGCTGCTCATAAAGAAGATTTCCCTGTTAATTGACTGAGTCGATCACAGATTATGTATTGTCAATTCTGAATACGTCGCGACACATCGATGTCGCCAAGAAGGGATTTAGGACTAGTTAATTGCTGATCGATTATTTGTTTTGCTGTTTTTAATCAGCTCTTAGAAAAAGATGCTTCGTGAACAAATCAGATTGCGTAAGCTTTATCGTTAACAGCAAAGCTGACAAAAAATGGAATATAATTATATATCACATTGCGCCCGTTAAATATATCATTTTGAGTGCTGACATCACGAGAAAATAGTTGGTGTAAGCGATCCTTACATTTACCATCCGAACCTTCGATCTTGTGGTACCTGGTATTTTTGTAAGTTCCTTATTGTGCAATTTGGCCTTGTAAAATTTGGGTATGTCCTTTTAATTATCCACGGTCTAATTGTCGTAGCAGACAAAGCGTTCATAAGGTGAGTGAAAAGTGTTCGTAGAATTGGAGCATATTGAAACATGCATTGGACACTTGGAAACAATGAGTTGGGAAGAGAAGCAGATAAGAGAGCTAAGAGCTGCAACATGGGAAAGGTCCTATATACGGGAAAGTTACGTAGGAAAGATTTGAGCCCGGTAATGACAATAGGTGCCTCATAGCGTCTGCAGCAGTTACTAAACTTTGTGTGAACCAACGAGAGATCATTATAGGTTCCTGTCCAACTTATACACAGAAGATTACAAACAGTCAGTATAATTATGTAACATAAGTTAAGTTTGGCTGAAAGTGACGGGTGAAGTCCCGGTCGCCTCTGCTTGTTTTTTGGTCCCCAGTTAGGTATTATAAAACAAGTATTGCCATTGTCATTTAGAACCACGTCGTCGACTTTGAGTTTATCGATTATCTCTAACAAATGCAGCCAATGTATGCAACTAATCTTCGCCAATGACCTGATTGATCTCAAAATCCCGGGCCAATGGCATGATTCATAAACTTATCTCAGGTGTCATAGAGCTACAAAATGTAGGCGGGTTAGTGAAATCAAATTTTTCTAGAGTTATCCCCAAGTTACTTTGCTGCTGCGGCGCACGTTTATGAGTATAACCAAATGATGTTCTCTTATTGGACAGAAAGTAAAGTTTAGCTGACTGCTGTAGACGCTCTTCGTGATAGTAGCAAACCATTTCTTATCTTTAGCTTCGTGTCCATATCTATTGTGAGGTGGGCAGGAACTAGTGTGAGTTACAGCAGGAAACTGTTTGAAGTGCTAACAGGGATATGTGCTTATGTCACTGGAGTATATCAAATTCGATCAATTTAAGCCGATGAAGTACACTAAAGAGGGTGTGCCAAAAAATTGGGACGATAAGGACTAGTAAACAATAAGCGGACTACGATGGCGGTGCTTGAGGTGAACACGTTCGAGAATATTATGGACGGAACTATCACCAAGGCAATGCTTTATCCAACAACTGTGGAAAAGCAGATATAATCAAGACTCAATCAAATCACCAACAAACGCATGAGTGATACGTCAATTGCCGCCGGCGATTTTACAGTGGATAAGCTACAAGAAGAATAAATTAGAAATGTAAAGAAAAATGTGCGATTTGCACGAGCTGAAATTAGACCACAGCTACCAAGGCCTACAAGATCCGTCGCTTAGTACATGATCTTTGCCAAATGGACACAGTGTATTGGAACGACGAGGATATCCATAGTTTCAGGATATTTAATTTATGGACAAAGCTCGCGAGTTTACACTGCAATTCCGAATTAATGGACATGGCCAAGATCATGCTTGGTTTGCCATTTCAAAGTGAGTTCGAGGGTTTAAAGTCGTCGATTCGGTATGGTGCAGAGGAAGCTGATCTACTCAAACCGCTAGTGTAACGGGGTAGTTCATTACATGAAATTGACACCAAATGATGTCAATAGGGAGTTTGTCTAGCATGACAATATTCTACCAATATTACCAGAGATAGATAATATTGAAGGAATATTATCCCCTTGTAGGATAATATTCATGCGCTGCTCGAAGATTGGTTGATAGAAGACATATCAACCAAGGCTACCACCAATCGCTGCTAGACGCGTAATGAGTGGTATGCAGGTTGTCGTCATACAACAATGTAGGGTAATATAGCTAGACAAAGACCGAAGTTCTGTTGATAGCTTAACTATATTAAATACAGCTCTCTTTTTACCTTTTACTCAAACAGCTGTTTGAGTAGATTAGCTTCCTTTGCACGTACTAGTGTACGTGAAGTTTCGCGGCACCCCAAACAAAGGGTGCCCGTTACACCTGGTATCCCTTTGTAGTTTGTCCAACGACTACATAGCGTCCGTTCAACATGAACATATTGGACGTAGAAGACGACAGCTTTCACGTCACACGTGAAGGCTACTTCCGTCTGATTGAATCAGAATGGGAGATAGTCGGCCGCATGAGTGTGCTCATGGGCGAACCCGCCATCAGTGGCATGTTGGAGTCTATAAAAAGAGACCAGCAACATGCTGCTATCAACAAGTTCCTACAAGGAATACTTGGTGTCGAACGACAGAAAATAGCCTTGCCATAACAGCAAGGCTCTCATCAGTCGATGGGTGGGCCTACGCACACGCGTCGATCCGAAACCTTGAAAATAGATATCTCAAAGTACAAGGGAACCGATGAAGATCCCCGTTTGAGATGGTTCGTCGAGTTAGAAGATGCCGTAAGGGTCCGTCACATCGAGGGTGACGAGATGCAAGTCACCTTTGCTCTGTCAAATTTGACAGGACGAGTAAAGATTTGGCCCTTAGGGATCAAGCTTCACGACTCAAACGTGTTTGAGTCGTTGGAGATCTTGAAGTCTCGGCTCAAAGAGACGTTTGAGCCGCCGAGAGCCGAGTACAGAGCACGCTCTGCACTCCTGAGGCTAAAGCAAGGTAAGCGTGACGTGCACGCTTACGCACAGCACCTGCGCTACCTTGCGAGTAGCGTTAGGGATAACCCTGTTGATGAGCACACGATCTTCAACGTGTCCATCTACAGCCTTGTAGATGGACTGATGAAGACCTACATGTTCCGAGAGGACTTCCATACGCTGGAAAAGACGATAGCGTATGCGGAACAAGAAGACTTCAGCCTGATACAGTTTCAGGCTAATTCGTCAAACTATCGTCCGACTAGACCACAAGAAATCGGAGGTCCCGAATTAATGGACCTCTGTCATGTCGAGAGCAAGAACTCTCGCTCTCTGAGTCACAAGCGAACGCAAGATGCCATCACTTTCAGAAGATCGGGCACTATGCTCATGAGTGCAGTGTCCCAAGCACCGCACCACGTCCAAAGACAGGAAGTGATGACCGTCGCTGGCCAAAGAAAGGTCTGAGGCGCGGGTCCTACCATGTCGCTAAGCCGCGACAACATGTTGGACCTTACACAAAAACCGAAAGGGTCAGTAGGGGCGGAGCACCCTGCTGATCCAGCAACGTCAAGAGAATTTGCAGGACTCTTGACGAAGACTGCTTCCAACACACAGTCGCTGCGTGTTACTGCCCCTAGTGATGAGGAGTCCCTCATCACTTCGAAGATCGAAGTGACAAGTGGAATGTCACGTCGCGCCCTAGTGGACTGTGGGGCGTCGAACAGTTTCATTCGACGCCAGTCTCTAGAAGATAGTAGACTCAACTATGCTGAGCGAGAGTTCCCTCCAGCGATGATGATGGTGTGCCTTTGTACAGGCACATCCGTAACAGTGAACAAACGTGTAGTTGGAATCCACTACACGCTAGGAAAGCAGTACGATAATGACTTTATCGTACTGGATTTGGATAACAAATTTGATGTCATCCTCGGTCTGCCATGGCTTAGAAAGTACCGGCCATGGGCTATCTGGCAGCATCGATCCGTGAAGATGCCTGCCGTTTGTTCATCGGATGGCTATCTGATGAACGTCTTGGAGCGTCCAAAAGTGTGTGGATGTACTACGAGTGAGTGCGATGGCCTCACTTTTGGTACGGTCGTTATTACGATTGCACAAGATCACAGTGTAGAAGGCCACTACACTGTGGAACCAGCTTCCGGCACCTGTGTAGAGGCACAGGCTGCGCCGAAGGTTCACCACTCGAAGAGATCGAGTGGACTGGAACACGGATGCGCACCAAGAAGGGTGCATCTGAGAAGAGAGATGAATGTTGTTCAGGATGGACAACACGTTGAAGCGAGATCGACTATCAGAGAGTCGATCGTAGAGCAAGCCCGCTCGTCTGAAAGAGAGTGGATTGAAGAGGACGTGACCGTGATAGTACCCATAACGGAAGCCCCAGCGTTCCTGAGAGTGATAACTCCCGAGAGAGTTATGTTGAGGGTGTGGATCCCCAACTAACTGCGGATGTGTTTTCCCAGGAAAGCACCGATACAGCGAATGTCTTGGTGAATGACGGATCAAGTGTAGGCGCTTGTACACTTGATCTGGTTACGCCCCCGAAGTCAGCTTCGGAGGTAGTCAAGTTGCCAACGCTAGAATCTAAAAGGTTCTTGCGAGATCTGCGTGATGACAAGATCAAGCAGATCTGCGTACTTGTCACAGAGGACGAGTACGCCGCCGATATTCGGTCGGCACAAGTGTTTGCTGAGCATGAAAGGGGTCTCAGTAGCTCATCGATGGACGAGAGTGTCCTCGATGAGAAGACTCGGATTGAGCGATACACGTCTCAATCTTGGGATTCGTTAAAGACAAAACTTTTGTATGAGAATTTGGTTGAATTCAGGGATGTTTTCCCGGAATTCGTGACATGCGAGTTGCCCAAGGACAAAGGCACTCGGCATGAGATTAAACTGAAACCCGGTTCGAAGTCTATGTCATGAAGCAATGACCACTGCCTCGCGAACAGGTAACAGCGATCGACAAATTCTTTGCCGATCGATTAGCGGCTAGTCGTGTGAGAGAATCAACATCCCCACACAGCTCTCCGACCTTCTGTGTGCGAAAGGTGAAAGGAGGGTGGAGGATAGTGCACACGTTCAACAAATTGAAAGCTTCAACGGTACCGGCTTAAACTCCGATACCAAGGAAGTACGTCATCATTGATGGCATGGCAAAAAGTACCATCTTTCCATGGATCTGATGGAAGGCTTCTATCAGGTACTCATGCGTGAACGGGACATCCCGTACACAGCAGTGAGCACCCCCAGTGGTATGCTCTGGGAGTGGTTAGTGATGCCATAGGGGCTAAGTAACGCCTCTGCAACGTTCAACAGATGTGTTATGAATCTGTTGCGATCGGTGCGAGACTTTGCACCGAGTTACTTTGACGATGTCTTCGTCCATAGCCGGGCTATGGATGGAAAGACGGATGTGGAGGTTCATAGAATCCACGTCCGGAAGGTTCTTACTCTAATGCGAGAGCATAAGTTGTTCGCGACCCTCAAAAGTGTATATTCGCAGCGAACGAAATACAACTTCTTGGATGCATTGTGGGTAAAAACGGTGTACGCCCTGACCCGGAAAAGATAAAGGTGATTAGCGACTGGCCAGTGCCAGTCGACGTCAAGGGACTTCGAAAGTCCCTCGGCTTGGCGGCGTACTTGCACAAATACTCGCGCAACTATGCCGAGATGACCGAACATCTCTCTCGTCTGTTAAAGAAAAACTAGAGGTCGTCATGGAGTGCTGAGTGTTAGCATTTCTTCAAAGGTATCAAGAAAAGCTTAATACAATCGCCTGTTTTTGGCGATTGCAGACCAGGACAGACCATACCACGTGGTCCGTGACGCCAACGATTTTGCAATCGGCTGCGCATTAATGCAGTATGACCCAGGCGGAGTTGAGCGCGTCGTCTGGTACCAGTCGCTTCAGCTGCAAGCCGCTGAGCGTAATTACCCGGTGCATGACAAGGAACGCCTTGCCGTTACATATGCACTGGCTAAGTTTCGGTTATATGTCTTAGGAGATAGGCTCTTCATAGTTTTTACCGACCATGCGTCATTACTCACGGCCGTAAACAGGCCACACCTCTTGCAACGAATGGCGAGGTGGCCGTCTTTCTTCGCGGAGTACAACTTCTCCGTCGAGTATAAACCAGGACGACTTAATGTCGTCTCTGATGCTCTTTCGTGTCGGCCCGATTTCGAGCCGACTGCTCAACACAACAGTAGGGGTGATTTCACTGCTGCAACACTATCAGTTTGTTTTCCGTCGTCGAATCTGCTCAACGACGAGCGAAAAGTGTATGCAGAAGATGAACCTCTTCTGCGGTTGATGGATTACGTATCCAATCCGTGTCGTCAAGCTTTAAAACGCTTGCCGTCTCAATACCGCTCGTTAACCGAACGGTATTCAGTTCGTGTTGGACTGCTGCACTATACAGCAGTCAACGTCGACACACCTTGTGTCGTCGTTCCTGCTAATGATGATTAGCAATGGCGCATCATGTGTGAGTGTCACGATGCCCCAACAAGTGGGCATCGCGGTAAAGAAACGACCTACCTCACGGTAAGTCGTGACTTCTACTGGCCCCGCCAGTATGAGTTTGTGCACAAATACATTCGCGCTAGCGAAGTTTGCCAGCGGGTGGAGTATAGTACTTCATCCCGTGCTCCCTTGCAGCCTCTATCAATTCCGGCAGAGTGTTGGCAGTCCGTATCGATGGACTTCGTCTTCGGGTTTACCAAAGACGTCCACAGGAATAATGGTATTCTTGTTTTTGTTGATCACTTAAGCAAGATGGTACATCTTGTTGCAGTACCGGAGTCAATTATAGCCCAGGGATGTGCGCGTGTCTTCATCGATACTATCTTCAGACTTCACGGGTTACCCCGTGAACTCGTGTTAGATGAAGACCCCCGGTTCACAGCGGAGTTCTGGCAATCCGTGTTCCGTTCACTTGGAACACGTTTGACGATGTCAACTTCTGACCATCCCGAAACAGATGGTCAAACAGAACGCGTCAACCGCGTTCTCGAAGAGATACTTCGAAGGTATGTACACTCGTTTAAGAGCTGGAGTGAGTTCTTGCCGATGGCGGAATTCGCTATCAACAACTCGGTGCACGCGTCGACAACGCATACACCGTTCTTCTTGAATGGCCTACGCCATCCACGTTTACCCGCCTTCTTATAGTATGAATCTAGTTTAAGGGGGGGGTGGACTCGCTCGAGCAAAAACCGATCTGGTTCTTGCTCATCACCCGTCGACAATGGTGTCGACGTGATGGATGCCGATGTCGATCACATCGACACCGATGATGATGATGACGAAGATTCTGGTTTATTCAGCATCGCAAATGACTGCCACAGTGAGGACGATGACACCCTAACTGCTAAAGACAACGTTCTTTCAGCAGAGCACACGAAGCGCACTACTGTTAACAAGGATGAAACAGCAGAGGAATTTCTGCTGACTCGCGAAGCGGTCGTTCGCTTCGTTTAAGACTCTATTGCAGATGCACTAGACAGACAGAAGAGAAACGCAGAAAAACATGGAAGAGCAGATGTTCTTTCATTTGATGAAGGAGACCTAGTTCTACTGTCTACAGTAAATCTACCAAAACACGCAGTGACAAATGTGGGCAGCAGTAAATTACTGCCCAGGTACATCGGTACAATTCGTGAGTTGCGCCGAATGGGCAACGCATACACTATTGAACTGCCTCGTAAGATTCGCACGCATCCTACGTTTTAAGTTGGACGTCTCCGCCCGTACTATCAGTACGAGCCCGTTTCGAGAGGCGAGGAACACCTCCACAGTCAAGGGCCGAGACCACCTTCGAGTGGTCCCGTTTCAACGAGCCAGTCTGGTCGACTAGCGAAGTGACCTGCTCACGCAGCTCAGCGAAGTCTCGACGAGCTGCAGCCAGCTCATCACGAAGAGCACAATTCGAACGTTCTTCCTCAAGTTGCGCGAACGCAAAAGCGGCACGATCGTCCAAGCGATCGTGCGTTAGGGAATTGTAATTATCCCTCACAAGACCCTCAAGCCCATAACGCCGAGATCGTTCATGAGCCAGGTCATCTTGCAACTGTTCCGTTACACGGTTCAGCTCCTTAACATCAAGTTGATCCGACCCTCGATCCGGATCAGGTGTTCCCATCGCCACCATATCCTTTGGTGACCTCAGGCGGTAGTCAACGCTTTCTGGTGGAGCGTATTTTGAACCACCGCGATGTGAATGGCGTCCGGACGAGTTACCTCGTCCGCTGGCGTGGCTATCCACCGGCGTGGGACAGCTGGGAGCCTCGTGCCCAGCTGATTGTTGATGTCCTTGGTCTCGTCGAGCAGTACGACGAGGCCCACCCGCTGCGGTTGATGAAGGGCTGTCGGAAAACGACCTCACCAAACGCAATTACAGGGATTGTAAAGTATCAATATCTTCGGCGATATCAGCAGTGACGCGCACCCTCGGTAGGGAACATTAGGGAGGTAGACCTACCTAGGGGCACGGTTCGGGTTGTCCAGGCAACCTGGACACGAATCACCCCACGAGAGACAGGGTAATCCTGCCTCTCTTGAGAGCCGGTGCAACTTGCATGGCGCCCCGACTGGGTTGCGCTTCTCAAACCTGATGCGAGCTGCATCAAGTTTGGCGAACCAGATCTCACGGCTAATGCACTCGATGTTATGAATGAAGGCATTCCATTCCTGCACTAAGGCCATACCGTCTCGAACACGGCTAACGTTGTACCACCGATGTAAAAAAACGCATCGGTGAAGAATTCTTCCTCAGCACGGATAGTTTCCTTGGTGGAATCAGGTGTGAAAATCTTTCTACAATCGAACAATGGGATTCGGTCCCGTTCGGTAGTCATACTGTCCAATCGGTCCAACTCTCTGGATGGCGGCATCCACGGAGACTCCACTTGGAGAGAGTGGCGCAGGACATTGCGTTCCCTGGCCTCTCGATTGGTGCCAGCGTGAGAAGTGACACCAGTGTTATCTCGATCCTTCGAATTACTTCGCTCGTGGTGATGTATGGGTGCATCGCCACCACGCCCGCGCGTCCTATCGCTGGATGGACTTGCGTGAGGCGGAGATTCGTCGGAATAACCACTCGATCCGAAGATCTCGGACACGATACCACCGCGATGACCAGAGCCAGTCAACCTGGCTCTTGCGGTGTCCGCCTTGTGTGATCCGGAGGCGTTAGGTGTCGCCTACGAGTCGGATGCATCATCCGACTCGCCAGAATAGATGAGCTCTATCTCAGACTCATCTTAATTACGACTCGTGGTACCCGCCGCAGACGCAACGGATATACCTGTCGCACGTGGTGACTCACCACGTGGACGATTCACAACAACAGGCGACGAATCACCTGCTGCTGATGTGTGATAGGCACTTTTCTCGGCCGCACGCATGCGTGCGGCCGCCCTTCTTGCTGCTGCAGTAGCAGCTCGCGTAGTTTTCGAGATCATGCAAGGGATTGGCAAATGAATGGGATTTGACCAACAAGTGCTCCTTTCCTAAAGTGATCCAACGGTGGTCACCCTGTTCATTTTAATTCTACTTCAATCAACGGGTGATTGATGGAAAGGGGGGGTGATGTAACGGGGTATCCCGATACATGATATTGACATTGAACGGTTGCAATAGGGAGATTGTCTAGATTGACAATATTCTACCAATATTATCCGAGATGGATAATAATCATGCACTGCATCTAGATTGGTTGATAAAAGACATATCAACCATAGATTGCCACCAATCGCTGCTAGACGCGCGCAATGAGTGGTGAGCAGGTTGTCTTCATACGACAATGTAGGGTTAGATAGATAGACAAGTACTGAAGTTATATCGATAGCTTAACTATATTTCATACAGCTCTCTTTTTACCTTTACTTTAACGAGTCGTTTAAGTAAATAAGCTTTATCTGCACGTACTAGTGTACGTAAGTTTGGTGACACCTAGACAAAATGGTGCCCTGTTACAGCTAGTTTAAATAAATATAAAAAGAGAGCTGTATTTAATATAGTTAATCTATCAGCAGAACTTCAGTCTTTTTCTAACTTTATTAAACTACGTCGTCGTATGACGACAACCTGCTCACCACTCATTACGCGCGTCTAGCAGCGATTGGTGGTGACCTTGGTCGATGTGTCTTCGATCAACCAATCTTTGAGTAGCGCATGAATTTTATCCTGCAAGGGAATAATATTCCTTCAATTTTTTATCCATCTCGGATAATATTGGTAAAATATTGTCGTGCTAGACAATATCCCTAGTGACGCCGTTTGGTGTAAATATCATGTAACGGGCTACCACGTCACATCTCCCCTCTTGAGCTATCAATCACCCGTGATTGAATTATATTGACTGATACAGGGTGTTTACCATTGGATCCCTATGGGATAGGGAGCACTTGTTGGTCAAATTTAATTCATTTGCCAATGCATCGCATGGTTCGTAATCCATGGGGTGCGCTGCCGAAGCAGCCATGTAGGCAGGTGCATGCATGCGTGCAGCCGAAGAAAGTGTTTCTCAAGCTTCAGCAGCAGGTGAAAATTCGCCTGCTGTTGAGATTCAGCAACAGGCAGTGCCTGGTGCGACTAGTCAACGTGGTGATTCACCACGTGCGACAGATACACCCGCTGCGTCTACAGCCAATGCTGCGACTCGCAATGTGCATAAGCCCAACATAGAGCTCATCTATTCTGAAGAGTCGGATGATGCATACGACTCGTAGGCGGTGCCTCCTTCGTCCGTTTTACCTGAGGCGGACATGGCCACAGCCAATTTGACTGGCTTTACGAAACATGGCGCTATCATGTCCGAGATCTTTGTACCGTGCGATTCGTCTGACGAATCCTCGTCTCACGCAAGTCCATCTGACGATAGGACACGTGCTGATAGTGGTGAAACACTATACGTCACCGCGAGAGAAGCAACTCGAGGGATCGATCTGCTACAAGTGTCAGTGCTCATACTGACACCACTTAAGTGACCAGGGACCACAACGTCATGCCCCATACTCCTCAAGTGGAGTCTCCTTGGATGATGTCTTTCAAGGCGTTAAAATGAGTGGATACTTGGACCAATGAACGGGATCGAATCCCATTGTTCGATTTATTAAAATTTTATTAAATTGTTTTGGTTTTTGCACTAGTAAAAAAACTCTAAATATGCAATGATATGAATAAAATCACCTATTTCAAATAAAGTTAGATTATTATTCATGTCATTATCAAATTCAATGTTTATTATTTATAGGATCCGTCCTCCTGATTCCAGCACGGAAACTATCCGTGCTGAGGAAGAATTCTTCACCGATGCGTTTTTTTTACATCGGTGGTACAACGGTAGCCGTGTTCGAGACGGTAAGGCCTTAGTGCAGGAATGGAATGCCTTCATTCATAACATCGAGTGCATTAGCCGTGAGATCTGGTTCGACAAACTTGATGCAGCTCGCATCAGGTTTGAGAAGCGCAACCCAGTCGGGGCGCCATGCAAGTTGCACCGGCTCTCAAGAGAGGCAGGATTACCCTGTCTCTCGTGGGGTGATTCGTGTCCAGGTTGCCTGGACAACCCGAACCGTGCCCCTAGGTAGGTCTACCTCCCTAATGTTCCCTACCGAGGGTGCGCGTCACTGCTGATATCGCCGAAGATATTGATACTTTACAATCCCTGTAATCGCGTTTGGTGAGGTCGTTTTCCGACAGCCCTTCATCAACCGCAGCGGGTGGGCCTCGTCGTACTGCTCGACGAGACCAAGGACATCAACAATCAGCTGGGCACGAGGCTCCCAGCTGTCCCACGCCGGTGGATAGCCACGCCAGCGGACGAGGTAACTCGTCCGGACGCCATTCACATCGCGGTGGTTCAAAATACGCTCCACCAGAAAGCGTTGACTACCGCCTGAGGTCACCAAAGGATGTGGTGGCGGTGGGAACACCTGATCCGGATCGAGGGTCGGATCAACTTGATGTTAAGGAGCTGAACCGTGTAACGGAACAGTTGCAAGATGACCTGGCTCATGAACGATCTCGGCGTTATGGGCTTGAGGGTCTTGTGAGGGATAATTACAATTCCCTAACGCACGATCGCTTGGACGATCGTGCCGCTTTTGCGTTCGCGCAACTTGAGGAAGAACGTTCGAATTGTGCTCTTCGTGATGAGCTGGCTGCAGCTCGTCGAGACTTCGCTGAGCTGCGTGAGCAGGTCACTTCGCTAGTCGACCAGACTGGCTCGTTGAAACGGGACCACTCGAAGGTGGTCTCGGCCCTTGACTGTGGAGGTGTTCCTCGCCTCTCGAAACGGGCTCGTACTGATAGTACGGGCGGAGACGTCCAACTTAAAACGTAGGATGCGTGCGAATCTTACGAGGCAGTTCAATAGTGTATGCGTTGCCCATTCGGCGCAACTCACGAATTGTACCGATGTACCTGGGCAGTAATTTACTGCTGCCCACATTTGTCACTGCGTGTTTTGGTAGATTTACTGTAGACAGTAGAACTAGGTCTCCTTCATCAAATGAAAGAACATCTGCTCTTCCATGTTTTTCTGCGTTTCTCTTCTGTCTGTCTAGTGCATCTGCAATAGAGTCTTAAACGAAGCGAACGACCGCTTCGCGAGTCAGCAGAAATTCCTCTGCTGTTTCATCCTTGTTAACAGTAGTGCGCTTCGTGTGCTCTGCTGAAAGAACGTTGTCTTTAGCAGTTAGGGTGTCATCGTCCTCACTGTGGCAGTCATTTGCGATGCTGAATAAACCAGAATCTTCGTCATCATCATCATCGGTGTCGATGTGATCGACATCGGCATCCATCACGTCGACACCATTGTCGACGGGTGATGAGCAAGAACCAGATCGGTTTTTGCTCGAGCGAGTCCACCCCCCCCTTAAACTAGATTCATACTATAAGAAGGCGGGTAAACGTGGATGGCGTAGGCCATTCAAGAAGAACGGTGTATGCGTTGTCGACGCGTGCACCGAGTTGTTGATAGCGAATTCCGCCATCGGCAAGAACTCACTCCAGCTCTTAAACGAGTGTACATACCTTCGAAGTATCTCTTCGAGAACGCGGTTGACGCGTTCTGTTTGACCATCTGTTTCGGGATGGTCAGAAGTTGACATCGTCAAACGTGTTCCAAGTGAACGGAACACGGATTGCCAGAACTCCGCTGTGAACCGGGGGTCTTCATCTAACACGAGTTCACGGGGTAACCCGTGAAGTCTGAAGATAGTATCGATGAAGACACGCGCACATCCCTGGGCTATAATTGACTCCGGTACTGCAACAAGATGTACCATCTTGCTTAAGTGATCAACAAAAACAAGAATACCATTATTCCTGTGGACGTCTTTGGTAAACCCGAAGACGAAGTCCATCGATACGGACTGCCAACACTCTGCCGGAATTGATAGAGGCTGCAAGGGAGCACGGGATGAAGTACTATACTCCACCCGCTGGCAAACTTTGCAAGCGCGAATGTATTTGTGCACAAACTCATACTGGCGGGGCCAGTAGAAGTCACGACTTACCGTGAGGTAGGTCGTTTCTTTACCGCGATGCCCACTTGTTGGGGCATCGTGACACTCACACATGATGCGCCATTGCTAATCATCATTAGCAGGAACGACGACACAAGGTGTGTCGACGTTGACTGCTGTATAGTGCAGCAGTCCAACACGAACTGAATACCGTTCGGTTAACGAGCGGTATTGAGACGGCAAGCGTTTTAAAGCTTGACGACACGGATTTGATACGTAATCCATCAACCGCAGAAGAGGTTCATCTTCTGCATACACTTTTCGCTCGTCGTTGAGCAGATTCGACGACGGAAAACAAACTGATAGTGTTGCAGCAGTGAAATCACCCCTACTGTTGTGTTGAGCAGTCGGCTCGAAATCGGGCCGACACGAAAGAGCATCAGAGACGACATTAAGTCGTCCTGGTTTATACTCGACGGAGAAGTTGTACTCCGCGAAGAAAGACGGCCACCTCGCCATTCGTTGCAAGAGGTGTGGCCTGTTTACGGCCGTGAGTAATGACGCATGGTCGGTAAAAACTATGAAGAGCCTATCTCCTAAGACATATAACCGAAACTTAGCCAGTGCATATGTAACGGCAAGGCGTTCCTTGTCATGCACCGGGTAATTACGCTCAGCGGCTTGCAGCTGAAGCGACTGGTACCAGACGACGCGCTCAACTCCGCCTGGGTCATACTGCATTAATGCGCAGCCGATTGCAAAATCGTTGGCGTCACGGACCACGTGGTATGGTCTGTCCTGGTCTGCAATCGCCAAAAACAGGCGATTGTATTAAGCTTTTCTTGATACCTTTGAAGAAATGCTAACACTCAGCACTCCATGACGACCTCTAGTTTTTCTTTAACAGACGAGAGAGATGTTCGGTCATCTCGGCATAGTTGCGCGAGTATTTGTGCAAGTACGCCGCCAAGCCGAGGGACTTTCGAAGTCCCTTGACGTCGACTGGCACTGGCCAGTCGCTAATCACCTTTATCTTTTCCGGGTCAGGGCGTACACCGTTTTTACCCACAATGCATCCAAGAAGTTGTATTTCGTTCGCTGCGAATATACACTTTTTGAGGGTCGCGAACAACTTATGCTCTCGCATTAGAGTAAGAACCTTCCGGACGTGGATTCTATGAACCTCCACATCCGTCTTTCCATCCATAGCCCGGCTATGGACGAAGACATCGTCAAAGTAACTCGGTGCAAAGTCTCGCACCGATCGCAACAGATTCATAACACATCTGTTGAACGTTGCAGAGGCGTTACTTAGCCCCTATGGCATCACTAACCACTCCCAGAGCATACCACTGGGGGTGCTCACTGCTGTGTACGGGATGTCCCGTTCACGCATGAGTACCTGATAGAAGCCTTCCATCAGATCCATGGAAAGATGGTACTTTTTGCCATGCCATCAATGATGACGTACTTCCTTGGTATCGGAGTTTAAGCTGGTACCGTTGAAGCTTTCAATTTGTTGAACGTGTGCACTATCCTCCACCCTCCTTTCACCTTTCGCACACAGAAGGTCGGAGAGCTGTGTGGGGATGTTGATTCTCTCACACGACTAGCCGCTAATCGATCGGCAAAGAATTTGTCGATCGCTGTTACCTGTTCGCGAGGCAGTGGTCATTGCTTCATGACATAGACTTCGAACCGGGTTTCAGTTTAATCTCATGCCGAGTGCCTTTGTCCTTGGGCAACTCGCATGTCACGAATTCCGGGAAAACATCCCTGAATTCAACCAAATTCTCATACAAAAGTTTTGTCTTTAACGAATCCCAAGATTGAGACGTGTATCGCTCAATCCGAGTCTTCTCATCGAGGACACTCTCGTCCATCGATGAGCTACTGAGACCCCTTTCATGCTCAGCAAACACTTGTGCCGACCGAATATCGGCGGCGTACTCGTCCTCTGTGACAAGTACTCAGATCTGCTTGATCTTGTCATCACGCAGATCTCGCAAGAACCTTTTAGATTCTAGCGTTGGCAACTTGACTACCTCCGAAGCTGACTTCGGGGGCGTAACCAGATCAAGTGTACAAGCGCCTACACTTGATCCGTCATTCACCAAGACATTCGCTGTATCGGTGCTTTCCTGGGAAAACACATCCGCAGTTAGTTGGGGATCCACACCCTCAACATAACTCTCTCGGGAGTTATCACTCTCAGGAACGCTGGGGCTTCCGTTATGGGTACTATCACGGTCACGTCCTCTTCAATCCACTCTCTTTCAGACGAGCGGGCTTGCTCTACGATCGACTCCCTGATAGTCGATCTCGCTTCAACGTGTTGTCCATCCTGAACAACACTCATATCTCTTCTCGGATGCACCCTTCTTGGTGCGCATCCGTGTTCCAGTCCACTCGATCTCTTCGAGTGGTGAACCTCCGGCGCAGCCTGTGCCTCTACACAGGTGCCGGAAGCTGGTTCCACAGTGTAGTGGCCTTCTACACTGTGATCTTGTGCAATCGTAATAACGACCGTACCAAAAGTGAGGCCATCGCACTCACTCGTAGTACATCCACACACTTTTGGACGCTCCAAGACGTTCATCAGATAGCCATCCGATGAACAAACGGCAGGCATCTTCACGGATCGATGCTGCCAGATAGCCCATGGCCGGTACTTTCTAAGCCATGGCAGACCGAGGATGACATCAAATTTGTTATCCAAATCCAGTACGATAAAGTCATTATCGTACTGCTTTCCTAGCGTGTAGTGGATTCCCACTACACGTTTTTCACTGTTACGGATGTGCCTGTACAAAGGCACATCGTCATCATCGCTGGAGGGAACTCTCGCTCAGCATAGTTGAGTCTACTATCTTCTAGAGACTGGCGTCGAATGAAACTGTTCGACGCCCCACAGTCCACTAGGGCGCGACGTGACATTCCACTTTTCACTTTGATCTTCGAAGTGATGAGGGACTTCTCATCACTAGGGGCAGTAACACGCAGCGACTGTGTGTTGGAAGCAGTCTTCGTCAAGAGTCCTGCAAATTCTCTTGACGTTGCTGGATCAGCAGGGTGCTCCGCCCCTACTGACCCTTTCGGTTTTTGTGTAAGGTCCAACATGTTGTCGCGGCTTAGCGACATGGTAGGACCCGCGCCTCAGACCTTTCTTTGGCCAGCGACGGTCATCACTTCCTGTCTTTGGACGTGGTGCGGTGCTTGGGACACTGCACTCATGAGCATAGTGCCCGATCTTCTGAAAGTGATGGCATCTTGCGTTCGCTTGTGACTCAGAGAGCGAGAGTTCTTGCTCTCGACATGACAGAGGTCCATTAATTCGGGACCTCCGATTTCTTGTGGTCTAGTCGGACGATAGTTTGACGAATTAGCCTGAAACTGTATCAGGCTGAAGTCTTCTTGTTCCGCATACGCTATCGTCTTTTCCAGCGTATGGAAGTCCTCTCGGAACATGTAGGTCTTCATCAGTCCATCTACAAGGCTGTAGATGGACACGTTGAAGATCGTGTGCTCATCAACAGGGTTATCCCTAACGCTACTCGCAAGGTAGCGCAGGTGCTGTGCGTAAGCGTGCACGTCACGCTTACCTTGCTTTAGCCTCAAGAGTGCAGAGCGTGCTCTGTACTCGGCTCTCGGCGGCTCAAACGTCTCTTTGAGCCGAGACTTCAAGATCTCCAACGACTCAAACACGTTTGGGTCGTGAAGCTTGATCCCTAAGGGCCAAATCTTTACTCGTCCTGTCAAATTTGACAGAGCAAAGGTGACTTGCATCTCGTCACCCTCGATGTGACGGACCCTTACGGCATCTTCTAACTCGACGAACCATCTCAAACGGGGATCTTCATCGGTTCCCTTGTACTTTGAGATATCTATTTTCAAGGTTTCGGATCGACGCGTGTGCGTAGGCCCACCCATCGACTGATGAGAGCCTTGCTGTTATGGCAAGGCTATTTTCTGTCGTTCGACACCAAGTATTCCTTGTAGGAACTTGTTGATAGCAGCATGTTGCTGGTCTCTTTTTATAGACTCCAACATGCCACTGATGGCGGGTTCGCCCATGAGCACACTCATGCGGCCGACTATCTCCCATTCTGAGTCACTCAGACGGGAGTAGCCTTCACGTGTGACGTGAAAGCTGTCGTCTTCTACGTCCAATATGTTCATGTTGAACGGACGCTATGTAGTCGTTGGACAAACTACAAAGGGATACCAGGTGTAACGGGCACCCTTTGTTTGGGGTGCCGCGAAACTTCACGTACACTAGTACGTGCAAAGGAAGCTAATCTACTCAAACAGCTGTTTGAGTAAAAGGTAAAAAGAGAGCTGTATTTAATATAGTTAAGCTATCAACAGAACTTCGGTCTTTGTCTAGCTATATTACCCTACATTGTTGTATGACGACAACCTGCATACCACTCATTACGCGTCTAGCAGCGATTGGTGGTAGCCTTGGTTGATATGTCTTCTATCAACCAATCTTCGAGCAGCGCATGAATATGATCCTGCAAGGGGATAATATTCCTTCCATATTATCTATCTCTGGTAATATTGGTAGAATATTGTCATGCTAGACAATCTCCCTATTGACATCATTTGGTGTCAATTTCATGTAACGAACTACCCCGTTACACTAGCGGTTTGAGTAGATCAGCTTCCTCTGCACGTACTAGTATACGAAAAGTTTCGCGGTACTTCAAACAAAGGTTGCTCCGTTACAGATGTCGATCTCTGGACTTGATCTTGCGGCCAAAAACAGACTTTGTGGTACGTTGGGCTTTGCGGATTAAAAACATTGGTGAGATGCAAAATAGAGTGCTCGCTACTGCTACTGCTGCGTCTTTGCTGTACAGTGACTAAGCGACCGTTTGTGCGAGTGGTTATTTGACTGCTTGCATAGCTACCTTTTACTAATGTGTAGATTTGCTTCATCGATTTTTGCTCTGCGTCCATTACTGCGACCTGTCGCTAACTCAGAGCAGCAGTCGCTGTTGCTGCGACCTATACAAATGCATGCATGATGTGATGAATGGCTCCACACCTCAACAATTATACCTATCAATCTTATGCCGTCAGCGTGACGACGCTGTACCTATGAAAGTGAAGACCGCTCGCCAGAAAACATCTTGTTATTTGTGCATGCGCTAATGCTGATTTTGCTAAGGTGATGACGACGAGGCCCCAACTCAGTCTCGAAGGGGCTGTATTGCACACCTGCTCGACCTATCACTCTCGAACCTCCTTATTATTGCCTTCTATAGAGGTCTGCTACGACATGCTACTAAATCAAACACTTGTCATCGGGCTCAGAACTTTCAGACACCAACTGGATTATTGTTGCAAGCTTGTAGGTCGAAGTTATTAGTGAGTGTGCAATGTTAAAGCCAACTTGTCGGCAGTCACTTCTTGTATGTCCGCCAATACTGGTGTGTATGAAATAGTGGACTTGCGTATTTATAAGTCAAGAGGAGACACATCACGGCATGGTTGTTTTGCCTAACATTGACCAGGCACGGATTAGAATCAAAGAGATGCATGTTTTCATTTGTTGATTGACGACATTTAAATACGTACGGATGTATTGGAAGCTCGGCTCGAATCTCTGAACTGGATTACTCACACTGAAGGGAAAGCCTATGAGCTCAAGACAGTTCGTAAACTCGATTACACACCACTTGATGGAAAGCCTCAGAGCTTGTACCTCTATCTGATGGTACCCGACCGTCGTGAAATTCCCATCTCTCACCACGAGATTCGCCACCAATGTTATTCAAACGCACTGAAGTAAAAGCCTCGTAAAGGAGCGATACTACCGCTAAGTGGGTGTATTCTACAAAGAAACAGAGTGCACAGCACATCGAGATGCTGTCGACTGATGTTCATTCGATCAAATCGCTCGGATGTGCGCGAGTGTCGCATAATGTTACAGAAGTGATGCTGCCCGACCAATTTACATGTCCACAACACCACACCGAACTAGGTAACGAGCATCGTGGCGTTGGTTACGAGCGATCGCGCTGGATTTTATATCTGCGACGTAAACTCAACCATGAAGCTGTTCGGTACTCGGAAGCGTCAAATGATTCAATGAGTTTGAGGCTTGTCGATTACATATTCTCACGTCGGCTTCTCGACGCTGCGCTCTCTTCATCTCTTTCGTCACAGGCAAAGTAGATCACGTACAAACCTATGCAAATGGGACCGCGGTACCAATCGGTTTGTAGCATTACAAAGGACGGGGGGTGTCTCATTGGACCCTCGATTCATCGCATTGAAAAGAGACCGCGGGAAAGCCTCGTTATTCATGTACAAAGTTGACACCTCGTTAAAAATGGACCAGCCCTTGCACTACACACAATCAGCGGCGGGCAGATAGTGTGGTTGATAGTGCACCCCATCCGATCCCAGCTCATCGTCCACCGCAATCGAGTGCACAGTCGCTCATGCTTTCCATTCATCCTTTTTCCTTCAACTGCTCTCGTCGCCGCGTCCCTTTAGTCCTGACTTCGGTCTTCACTCCGATTCACAAGATGAAGCTCATCACTTCGATTGCTGCTGCCGTTGCGGCTTGCGGCGTCACCGTTTCCGCCAATGTCGCCACGTCACCGACTTGGGGTTATCATAATAGGGATGCAAGTATCATTAGCACCTCCGAGTGGCACACCACCTGGGCGGCATGCGGCGGCAACCGTCAGTCTCCCATTGACATCAACACGACTGCATCTACCAGCAGTACGAATAACGTTCCGCTTGTGTTCCATGGAGACTGTCCAACGTTCAATCTGGCACATCCCCACGAACCGCTCGAGGTGAGCGTCGTTCCAGGAGGTACGGTAGTCACTACTTTGCTCGCTGAATTTAATCGTTTTGTGAATTCTAACGCCATTCGATGGACATCCAGGCAACTGTGGCGTGTCGCTGCGCGATCAGGTCTACGACATGAAGCAATTTCACATGCATTCTGTTTCCGAGCACACCATCAATGGAAAGCACATGGACGCCGAAATTCACTTTGTGCACGTGGCCAGCGAAAGCAAGGCACTTCTGGTCGTGGCTGTCTTTCTCGATATTGGCCCGGTTTCGGACGAATGGCTGGGTCCCGTTCTGGACGCTTTGGACCAGGTCAACTGTACTACTACAAAGCGCGATGCCATCATCGTTAATCTGTACGTTACTCCATACACACCGATGTAGTACCATGACATCTTCTAACAGTTTTCATGATTGTCACGTGCGCAGAAGCTCCTACTCTACGATGATAAGCAAGGCCGCGGCGATTGGTGGTGTCTACAACTATGCTGGCAGCCTTACGATTCCTGGTTGTGAAGAGAACGCTGACTGGTGGGTGGTGGAGAGCCCGATCAAGATCTCCTCCATTGACTTTGGCCGTCTTCACCAAGACTTAGTCGAGTACCCTATTACGGACGACGGCAACAACGCTCGTCCGGTGCAGCCTCTGAATGGCCGTGTTGTCACTCGCTACATAAACTGAGTTGAGGGAACTCATCGTCACGATCGAGTCGTTGTCGATACTAAACAATAGTACGTGCTCCATTGTGTACTGGAAAGAGGAAAATAACGACATAGTTACGTTTACACATTCGTCAAAGAAGTTCTCATGTTCATCAGGTCAATCATTTGCTTCCTGATTATAAAAAAGGAAACGTTAAGCACCCCCCAGGTTTTTGTTAAACACCCCCCCCCACCCCCTATGCATCACCAATCGAGGCGGTGCAGTGGTTAAGCCACGGCTGTTCTGACCGGGAGGCGCGGGTTCGAGCCATGGCGAGTGCAGCGGACCCGCCTGGGTACGAATCTAAACAGCATCACCGACTGGTCCGAAAGGGGACGCAGCCGGTAGATAAGGTGAAGCAAGTGTGCAAGAGGTAGCCACCGAGTCGCAAATCCTGTAAGTTACTGGTAGCAGGTATCTGGGCAGTTGAGGAACAACATGTGAAACTTCCCCGGGTAGAAATGAGCCTACCCACCCCCTATGTATCACCGTAATATATATGCCTTCCGTGTTTTTGATTGATTTTAAATAAAATGTCATATTGCTAAATACTGAAAGCCAATTCCAACACAATAATTGCATCATGTAATCGCTTGCACGCTATTTTTTTCAATTGTTGAATAATTTCTTTCAGCGCTTAAACACCGTAGTCTGTCATTCTCATATGGCTCTGCTACCGCCTCCTAGAACTACATACGATACGCTAGAGGAAGCCCGAAAGGCACTTTATGAACATGCAAGAGCTCAAGGCTATGTCCTAACGATCAAGCGTACCAAGAAGGTGGGTAATAGGAAAGATGGCGCAATTTAATGTATTATTCTATGGTGTTCCCAAGGAAATAAATACAAGCCAGTTGCTGTTAACGAAGTACCAGAAACGAGAACGATCAGGCGCATAAGGGCTAGTAGAAGCACTGGGTGCTGTTTTGAAGCTGTCATTCAACGCATTGATGAGCGCTGGAACGTTACGAATCTTTTTGATCTGGAGCAGGACGCGATGTTGGATGAAGAGTCAGTCGGCAATGCGTGGGATAGAGAGCAGCCGCGATGTGCATGCCGATGGGAGGAGGTTAAGCCACTACCATCATCAAATTACGCGCTATTCTAGTTAGTCAATTATACACGTAATACGACTACACACATACCTCGTGATACACCTCTGCAGCTGGCTTAGAGTCAATTTTGAATGTAGCATTAATGATTGCCTTTGTTACAGTGTCCATACAGGATAATCGCAGTATATGACATGTAAATTATCACACGTCGCCGACTTATAGACATGCATCAATTATCTTGATTTAGTATTTTATCATTTGTAAATGAAATAGTAAATTACTGCTTAAACCGGTGATGTATTCAATTCTACCAATCGGAACGCGTCCATCGTGTAAATTACGGTAATATATAGGGGGTGGGGGGTGGTTAACGAAAACCTGGGGGGTGGTTAACGTTTCCTTATAAAAATTGGTCAGTATATTTGTATGACAAAGGTAGCTGATTACTTTAAGGTAAAACTGCGGTTGTGAAGCGGGTAGAAGCGCTTTAAGTCGAGACCTGTCAACGCGTGGTGGCTACAACAGCATTTTTTTTCTTCGCTAATAAAATCTGTAACTGGATTACACAAATGGTCGTGATCATCAGGTGCATTGATGTGGTACACACAGAAGGAGATCAGTATCACTGATAAGGCGTACTTTTGTATCACATACGCTAAGCGATAAAAACGTGCCCTATCAGTTAAAGTTAGAGGATATCTATCGTAATAGGGCCTTCATTGAGGCGACGTAGTTCTGGTGTGACACACAAGTAGAACTATGATATGGATTTTACGATCAGGTAGCACATTTGTAAGGTTAAAGGCGTAAGAAAGGTTAATTATCGCTATAAATCAGTAGATTTATTCAGTTCCCCTTTCGATTAGTTTCAGACACGTGTCTTTCCAAGACGTCTCTAGTCGTACAAGTTAAGTGCCTGAGTTAAGGCAACGTACTTTGTGTATTACTGCTACATGAGTCCTTGGAGTCGTTGACCCCTGGATAAGGACTAGAAGCTAAGAGCTTGTACGTACACTTAGATTTAAGTCTCAACAAAAGTGTAAAATTTTAGACCCTTTAAGTCAAAGCCCGCTTATTTTAATATACTAAGAAAATCTACAATTTAAAAGTTTATCTCTCACTAGGGATTTAAATTAGCTTCGCTAACAGAAACGCTCTAACTGACAGTAAATCCTTCTGGCGATCAACACTGTTGAAGAATGCGAGACGTAATCGTTGAGACTTTCAATCGATGCAGCATATGCGCAACCGTTAATTTGAACACAAATGACAAGCAAACACTGCTACACGCGATGGTCCAGTAGTACACCGAAAGAAGCGTCAGTTGTCGATGGCAATAATATCGGCAGGGGCTGAATATAGGGGATTGACGTTGGCCACTAACGAGGTTTGATTGCCTTCGGTATCTGTTTAAAAGTCTTAAACATTGTTCATCTGGTGCAACAAAGACCATGATGGATATTTGGTGGAGTGGGTTGTCAAAACTTTTTGACAAGACCCCAAACAACTCCATGTGCCGAACTGCCGACTGTAGGATGGGGTACCCCGATGCCGCTTGTAGACCTTGACTCAATTTGTATTCGTCGGCTTGGCAAGTTTCACTCTTTGGAGAGCTTGGTGTTGATGTAGACGTCGGCCTTGATGAAGGTCGAACTGGGGGGCCCCGAGCGGATATTCTTTAGTCAGGGTCCAATGTAGGCGGCCACTCGATCGACTTGGTCGAGATTGGTTTTCTAAACAGTTGTCTCAAATGCTGGTGGCGCCTGGCCTTTACTTGTCTCAAGGGTGCTAATCGCCTGGCCTTTACGTGTCTTCTCTTTTAACACTAGTGTATGGAGGCCGCTTGTAATAGCGGGATTGAGTATGGGGGGGGTGTTACTTTCCAAACCCACAGGCTAATGTACTTCCTGGGGTTTTACGTACGCTTGTGTAGTACTGACAAGTGTCCATTCGACGGGTGGGCCAAAAAGATCCCTGGCCCGGAACAGGTCGGTGGACTTAAAAGTTTCTTAGCGCACGACACGTCGTGCTACTTAGATCGCAAATTGAGTAGTCATTAATGTTATCTTATCCTTACAACTCCTTTAATCTACCTTTGCCTTGCACCTGGGTTCGCTATGATAAGTGGCCAGGAGCCGCTAGACCTAATGGGGTCTAGTCGGCCTATGGGTGACCATGTCGGCTGGTGGATGACCAAGACGGCCGGTGTGTGGCCAGGTCGGCCTACGGGTGACCAAGGCCTACCTTGGGCAACCAGGCCGACCGATGGGTGACCAGGTATATATACGAAGGATCGAATTCCACCTTGGGCGACCAGGGCCGACCGACGATTGGTTGAGAACGATCCATATCGGTACCGTTTAACTGATACCGTTGGTCGGTTTGACCCCGCTGTCAGTAACCTTAACCGCTCTTCACGGTTGGATCCAACGGCCGCTCCTTACCTGTGAACCCCAAGTCTCTGGTCCCTATCCCGGCCGCGATGTACTATGTCCGTCCAGCTCGTAAACCATAAAGTCTATCATTTTCGTATACTCGCTTCACCAAAGATAAAAAGCCGGCAAATAGGATGGCGACGACCTTGATTAACATACCTCGTGGATAACACACTTACTTGCACGTTCTTTTGTGCGTAATCATGTGGAAATCAGAAAAGTGAGTCGTGAATGCGTACCTTCCAAAGGCTAATATGCGGACATCAGCCCTCCCCACCGCTCATTTGAGGTTGGGAAGTCCATAACATGCCTCGCCTATCACATATAACTTAGCACCAGATGCGTGACCCGGTCGTGAGTGCCAAAATCCTTAAAACTATCGGCTGAAGAGTCGATCATCCGCGCTGCTGGTAGTATCCATTTTGAAAATCCGGTCTTTCAATCAAACAAGCCGTTAACCTTTGTTATCACGGCTACAACTTACTCTTTTACTGATATGATGGCATGATCATGATCAAATATAGTCATTAGGCTGTGTTACGAATAATGAATGCCGGCACCGACAACAGCCTACCGTATAACTCAGGACTGAAGGTCGCATCAGTTACACTGACTGTTTAACCGTTGTCGCGATGCAGTCAAGAAATATTGCGACCTGACGACAACGATGAAATATAACATACAAAATGATTATAGGACCATCGCTAAGAATTTTAAATTACACCAGAACTTGATCGACAAGTTACTTGGTCACCACCCCAATCTGCGATTTAGTACGCACTCAAATCTGCTCCATGGTTTGTATATCTAAGGCGTTTATTCCAATGGTCTTGTGAGCCTTCCAAGAAATATAACACAATCATTGCTGCACTTCAATGCACTGCACGGGGGTTGTTGAGGCACTGCGACATTATTGCTTCTAGAGCACTGATGTCTGGCCGTTGCACAAGTCAATCGTTATAGAGACGACTCCGCATCAGCCATCGCGTCAAGTGCCGACTTGTGCGACGAAAACTCCGCCAGTGAAGGCGCTTCGCGCACAAGATTTGACAAATATGGCGCACGTAACAACTGTGATGAGTGAAGCGCAAGGAAGGCGACGCTATCACGGCTCTTTGTGTGAGTTCTATGAAAAAGTTGAGCTTTTAGTGACGGACGGATGTGGTTGAAGACGGGCTATCGAGATGGAGATTTGATCAAGAGGACTGGACGTAGGGCGTGGCATGAAAGATCTGCACGCAAGATGGTCACGAGGTTTAACAAGACTACAAGACATGACAATGAACAAAGCTAAAGATGAGCAGGCCAAAGATAGTGAAGGTGTTACTCTCCTAGAAGACGCCAAAAGAGCATGAGGAGCTCTCACGAAAGAAGGCACATTGTCAGGCGAGACGTGTGTCAAAATTGCTTAAGAGGATTGGAAGAGAGGCCAGCGACATGGTCGTCGAAGGGGAGTATTGGAGATGGGGTTGTCATAGCGGACCATAAT